GGAAGAAGAAACGAACAGAGCACGGACGTGAGGCAGACAAGCGGTGCGGGACTAGTCATGCCGGTATTCATACCTCCCCGATAGGAAGACAGGTCATGCGAGAAGTGTCCAAAGGGCGCAATATAGGTAGGCTTAAGCTGGCATTCCCAACCTGTTGAAATAGGAATATTGAACTGACTAACACGCGGTTTGATACATAACCATATGCCTACGATATATGGATTTGGGTGGCCTGCATCGTAGGAATGGCGCAGAGAGATTATCGAGGGAATTGAAAGTTGGCTAACGTCGTACCACCTGACTCAGGCTACAAGGCTGAAAGCAGCTGATTCACCCCCCCAGAGGCTGGAGGAACCAGTGAGGAACCAGCGCTATCTTCGGTTTCTACTCTGGTTATGGTTAGACCACCATGTGCCCCCAGGTACTGAAAGGCGCTAAGGAATCGCTCCAATTCATTTGGTCATGCGCAGGGTATAGATATGATCAAGTACCTTGACGTGTCGGGTTTCTTTCTTTATTAAGACAAGCATCGGTGGATTCAATTATCGCACCCCTGACTAGTGGCCGGATCGGCGCGCTTGAGCGTGGCCTCCGTGCCAATCACGTCCCATCGGCTCAGCCTCGAACAAGGATGTACATCTTATCATGGAGGACCATCGTCTATTATTCCGCAAGTTCCGGTGCCTGGAGGCTGGAGGCTGGGGACAGAGGTCTGTTCCTTCGCGTGGCTTGGCTCACCAACTCCTCTTGAGCTCCATCCTTATATAGCAGAAAATAGGGCCCCGATCACAATGTGGAAAGACCTACGACCGATTCCACCCCGCGGTATTTCTGACCCTCCCATTCTGTAACATGCCTGTAACATCTTTCCTCCATTTTGACCATACAGCCCTTGACGCGCTCGAAGCGAATAAAAAGTGTGTCGCGGAAGTGTCCAACAACGGCTCTATCAAGCGTTGTGGGCAATGGATCAAGTTTGACAACCTTAAATCCTTTTACATAACGAACCAAAACACCCCCCGAAACAAGCTTCCTCTTCTAGAGATCGCGAAGCTATGTCTCTGTGCGACGCATCGCAGAGAGACAAACATCTCGTGGGCTGTGGACCAGTGGACTCAAGAGATTAGCGATACAAGCTGCCCCCCCAGCAAGGCTTTGCCAGATACCAACGCACCATTGACACCACAAAAAAGAGATGATGGCCGACAGAGAGCGACTCTGTCTCCAGATAGTTTCCAGATGAATAAGAAACATAACTCACCCCACAAAGTTGACGAAAAAATAATGGCAATAATCAACAAGCCGAAAAAGGTCCAAGGGACATTGAACATTGTATACATTTTCTCAGATGCGAACATCCCCCACAAATTCAAGGTCGGCCATACGACAAACAGGAAGGGTCGATTTGCAAAGTGGGCCAAATGTTATCCTAAACTCGTCGTTCATACCTTGACTGAGTGCACCGATGCCAAAAAGGTTGAGAAACTGGTGCATGCGGAGTTGGACCAGCAACGCCAAAAGCATAGCTGTGACTTATGCGATTCGAAACCAGTTAGCCATGGGGAGTGGTTTGAAAAAGACCTTGATGATATTCGTCGCATTGTAGAAGGATGGGCGGCGTTTGTCGATAATGCCTACCATGAGAATGGATATGTCAAGCCCGAATACAAATCATCATTTGCAGGATCCTCCCAGGACGAGGGACGATGGCAGAACTGGATCCGGGGAGAGCTCAAACGGAACAAGATCGCCGCTGCCGCTGCACAAGAATTGGAGGAGGATCTCACGGATAGTGGCAGCAGTGAATCACTGGCTACCCCACAGACCGATCCCTCTGGTACCTCCGAAGCACCACCGTCTCCCATTCTACACATCCCATGTGTATTTCCTACAGTCGAAGAGCACGTTGGCTCTATGCCTTCTGCGAGAGAAACTGCGGTGACTCCAAAGCCACTAGGTGGGAAGGCTTCCAAGGAAGAAGAAGAGAGGGTCACTTTCTTCGGCCTGGCTAAACGTATCGTGTCTGTGGTCGCTGGCTATTCTAGCTGAGTGGGGAATACAAAACACTAAAGAACGAGGCTCAAACCGAAAAAATAAAAAAATACATACAACAGGAGGGATTCGCTGGTGGTCACCCACCCAACTACTAACCTCCCGGCGTGTGGCTTAAGTACGGCTGAGCGGACGGGAAGCCCTGTTCTCCACACCCTATGGTCGTATGTACTGGTTTATTCTAAGTATGCGGTTATATAGCGCAGGGACATGGTTCTCTGGCAAAAGATCTTACTGTGATGTCTTGAATCGATTCCCGTTAGCTCGATGTTTTGTATGTTAGTGCTATAATTCAGTAGTTTTCTCTTCAATCAAATATATGTCGCTTAAAACACTTTCTATAAACACTTTTACCATTTTAGATTGTTTTTATTTCCTATATATTTTTATAATGTGAGTGATTTTATTACCATGTACAATATAAGTACTTAGCTATGCAATGATATATACTTTCTGGGCTTCCAGCACTTAAAACTAACGGTGTAGTACTGGTGTCTCGGATCCTCTTCATAGTGTCATGCCCCAACATAGGAGAATTGAGGAGGACAGCGTATATCCCTCTGCCAAGTGAGGATGTGTAATAAGTGGCCATCAACAACAGGGCTTCCTACGGGTCCAAGTTCCTTCAAGGTTGACTACATCATAGTCTTTCTAACAAACCGTCACTATTGCGCTCTCATCATATCCGTGATACTGGTCGCCCAGCCAACCAGTCACAATACATTCTTTGCTTCTGCTGGAAGATAGCTACTGCGAATAATACTTCGATCCAGACATGCCTCTTGTTTTCATCTCTTTGTACCAAGGACATTGCCAAATGGCAATGAACTTACTCCCAGGTACGATCGCCACAGTCCCTCGGGCGAAAACTGTTAATGTAGATCAAGTATTCGTTAATTACAGGACAGGGGCTGTTTTCATTCGATCACAGATGGCTCCTTAATAGACTGGGTCTATAGATCTTGATTCCTATCTTCTTCTTCCATTCACCCCACACCGACTTTCACTAACGCGTTTTATTTACACTGTACCATTTCCAAGCATTCCTCCCCCCTCCCCTTCAACATGGAGCCAGACCAGATGGAGTCGGGAGACTCGGAAACCCCATCACCGGAGAGGCAGCTGAATCTACGATCCGCAACGTCATCGGATGTCAGTCCTGGAGAATGATGCCACTCACTATGCCCATTATGATGCACTACGAGACTTTTTCCAGTCTATTTGGGCCAAATGAATTGAATTGGTAAACAAAACAACTATAACAACAACGTTCTTACTGTCGTCTATCATACGCGAGGATCTACTGCATCCGTTGAGCTTAATGCGGACCCCAAGACAAGCAGGGAAGAGATACGTCCCAGCACAAGGGCGAACTCCGTCACTCGATTAGGCTTGCCGCTATCGAGATGACTGCGAACTATGCCCTGATCCAGGATGCAACAGTTAGACTTGCTGAGTTGAATAACGGACACGAGGTTATTCCCTTCCCAAGCTTATCCACAACCGAAGATGTCGCAACCTTGAATACAAGCTACGAAACCCCCCATGTATTAAAACCCCCCCAACCCCATATTATGGTTGATGACCCTCCCTATTGCCAATGCATGACACCGATATAGAGGCTCAAGGACCGTCACAGGTGCGTGTTATTTGCGGTGGTTGTGGCTTTTCATGCAAATAAATCATATTCCAAGCCCTCCCTGGGCCATAGGAGCAATAACTTATCGGTAACATATGAACGAATTATGAACTAGTTCAATGGCTTAATTATAGCTGGCGTGATGCCAACAAAACATCAAACCGGCATTAATGAGATATACTACTCTTAGCCAGAATCAGTTCAGTCAAAGAAAGATTAGTCACGCATTCCACCCCCAGTTCCCTCCCGCGCTTGATTATCCAGCCATTAATAAATTCAATCTCCGTCAGTCTCCCTTTACGGATATCCTCTCGCATGCTGCTGGAGTTTCCCGCTGTCTTTCTAATTGTGTCCATCACAACGGCTTCCAAGGACGCCGGGGAGAAGCATGAGGGAGCATGAGCGGAAAGACTCTGGATTTGTGGCAGCCGACCAAACACCGTTGAGATCTCCTCCAGGAGGCGGTTTATTAATGGTCTGACCTGTGGCATATCTGCGATCACACCGTTTCGGACATCTAGTAGGGCTGTAAGAGGATTGAGGACGCAATTTGCTGCCAGCTTGAATAGTTGATCTCGGAAAAGACTGGTCCAGTCCAATTCTTCACAATTGAGAGCTGTTGATCGAAGCAGAGTATCGACCAGAAAACGATTTCTCGGCTGGGTTATGGCTAAGCCATCTGCGTCTACAAAGCCCACGGAGACACAGCCATTGCGACCAGCTAATACCGCTTGGAAAGCCGCTTTTAAGTAGACCCCGTGTCGAACAATCCCAAACATATACGTTGGTCGTGTGGCTGGGTCAGGGAAAAGCTGCTGATTTAATTCTTCCATTTGGCCCAAGCCATTCTGGAATAGACAGATAACAGAATCTGGCCCGAGCCTTTCTTTGATAGGTCTGATAGCGTCTACTGTCATCGAGGCTTTGACTGTGACAATAAGACAACGAATTGGCGATGTGGGTGTGGTATCGCTCCCCAATACCTCGACATTGAAGTCAGCTTGCTCGTCCACGTCTCCATCTTCTCCGACCTGCAAACTTATTTTCTGTCCGGTGGAGATGAATTCGCGACGCAGGGATTCTCGATGAAGAAGAAGTGTAATGGGGGGTATATCAGGCAGAGAACGAAGAGAGTGGGCGATAAAACGCCCAATGCTTCCAAGCCCTAATATATGGATTGGGGAAGAGTTCGCCATATTATCACAGAATGATACAATCGAGCATGCAAAAACTATCTCTCCGGTCCCTGGAAACTCGCCTGGATAACCGAGGAAATCAAATCCCCACCATGAGTAATCCATGTATTGCGGGGCCGAAGGCTGGCGTCGGAAAAGCACCGACATAAGGCATTCTGACCACCTGATTTACCAGCTCCAGTGCACAGGCTCTATCAGCCACTTGTAGCCAAGAGATGTTGAGTAAAGGTGGGAGTTTCCATTGGCATTGTTCTATTTTGGAAGTATGTAGGCTCGTGGGTCCATTCCCATTAAAATCAGGGTAGCCTATTCAAAATAATGTCTCGGTACCAGCCCTTGTTCAACAGGTTCTTCTCAGGAGATATTTGTAGAATGATCGCTGTCTTAACTGAATGCCTAGGCCTAAATTACGAACCAAGGTCAATGGTAATATACACAGTTGGATATCCGCTACAGTTCATCGTGGTTCTTCTGCTTGTCCCGAGCAGCTTCTAAGCCCGGAACCGTGAAGATGATCCGACGATAGGATACCAGGACTCCGTCAGAAACCTCGACGATGAGGTGCAGGTGCTTGTCACTTTCCGGGTGTGTGTTGCGGCCTTCTCGCCTTATTACCTCGCTCGGGGGAATTGTGACAGTGATTCGGGGGGAGTCCGTAGAACTCAGGGAAAGCTCAGCAACATCTCTCCGGGGGTTGTTGTTATTGGAGGAAGGTTCTAAATACTGCCACCATTTGAAAGTGAGGTTGTCTCCGTCGGGATCGCAAGAGTCCGTCGCGTCCAGCACGACTTCCTGACCTGGTTCCACCGGAATCTGGATAACTTGACGAGTGCGGTCCCCGTCGATCGTGACAACCGGAGCATGATTCGCGTCAGAGAACCTGGACGCTATTGTCCACTTTATGCGAGCTGCGAAATCCTGTTGAAATGCCTCGCGCCATCTCCAGACGGTGACGTGCGGTCCTATCATCGTTCGCCCCGAGTCATCCACGATGGTGTCAACACTGTCGGCAAAATGGCCTTCTCCAAAGGCCACAGGCCCATACCGACCACCCCATGAGCCCCACTCCGGGTGCTCTGGGTCGGAAAGACCGTTCGGGATAACGTGCAACAAGGAAGGGGTGTCGCCCTCGATAATAAAGTCCGCATCCGGATATTTCGCTCCTAACGGGCCGACGGTCTGTATGTTCTGCTGGACCCAGGCGGATGTGATGACCTCCTTGTTGGCATTGTTTGGGAAATGGTAGTAGTCGTCGCCCGAGATGCCGCCCCATCCAGCCACCGCATAGCGATTGAAATGGTGCACGCTGGCAATGTAAAACAGACTCGGCCAGTTGCGCCGCATCCAGGTCCCCGTGTTATCCTGGTCGGAGATTGAGTACACACGCAATTTGGCCACGAAGCGATCGATATCCTCCGGCGATCGGGTGGCATTGACGTGCCATAAGGCCTGCGCCAGAACCGATGCACCGCCCCATACCAGAACCCAGAGGGGCTCTTCGGACTTGTCCACCGCGTTAACCAAAAGTGTTGAGCCACTACTGTCCTTCCCTTCTCCAACGCCATCCATACCGTACACAGGCAGTCCGGACGCGATTAAACTGTGGATCTCGCTTGCTTCGGGCCATCCCGATGCATGGTTGCGCAGATACGGCACAGATAATTCAAAGGCATCGACGATGTCATGCATGAGATCGGGTCGAGTCGTATCGTTGAGCCAGATACTGGTCGTCGCCACGAGACCTTCCAGATGTAGTTCATTGGAGTACACCATCAGGCGAACCAGGGACTGCGCATCATCCGGCTCGTTGTCGATGTCGCTGAGTACCAACACCCGCGGCTTCTTTACCGTCGAACTCATGCATTGTGATTGCAGTGACGGTCGGACACACAGGCCCGTCAAAAGTAATAATTGAAACACATTATACAACCAAGCCATAGCTTTCTGTGGTTGATTGCAAACAGTAGTCTGGCGCTGGCATCTCTGTTGTTAGACGTTGCTTTATGAGTGACGATGGTTGTGGTTGAAGTTGCCCTTTTTGGAACGTAGGGTTGGAACTTCCTGAGGCTACGAATTTCCGTATTTGATGTAGCACTGGATTGACTAAATAGGTTTAGTGTGGGTGGGCACTCCAGCACGTCACTCACGATAGTTAACTATTTAATGCAGGTGGTCAAGGTTACGGAATACGAGAAACCTCACACCGCAACTCACTCCTTGTCATTTATCTGGGTATGGAATTGAGAGCTTTGTGTAAATCACAGCTTTTCCTAACTACGTAGCACTTGAAAGCATTTAAAAGCACTGAATGACAAATGTTTCCTCTCACGCAACTCAACCGTAAATATATATATATCGCCCACATACTCGAACCCTCATAGTACCCTTATTTAACCATTGTAAAGAAGGCTAGAAAGATATTCCAGCCAAATCCTACACACGAGGCAACAAGTACTCGAGACCCCACAGGAACCCAAATAAAATTGCATAAAGAACAAGCTGGCCAGACTTTCCAAGCGTTCACGATTAAGGGCCAGATCTTCCGGTTGACTTCTGCCACAAGCACGGACGCACTCTCGGATTGCTTGAAACCGGTGCAAACTAAAAATATCGTGTTCATTAAGAAGAGCCCGATGGTCTGATCCAGAAGAATCTTGTAAACAATGTTCCGCCACTGAATGTTCTTCTGAGCGGCCGTTGTCTTATCCGCTGGCTGAGCGCTGGCCGAGTACGACGGAAATGAGTCTTCCAAGAACTCCTGCCAATGGCAGTTCACTTGGGCCTGAATTAGGCCGAAGATAGCGAATTCAATGACTGCTTTCCAGTCCAGGGGCAGAGCTGTCGCATTGGTCGAGTACCGAAAGAGCTGTGCGGTGAGGTTCGCGGCAGACTTGAGGATGGCAGACTGCACGATAGTCTTGGCATGACGGGACATGGTGATTCTCAACTGCAGATTTGTAGAGCAATGATGAATGACAGTAATATCATGAAGCACCTTGGACAGAGCGGGTGAAGTTAAAGTGAACAATAACGCTTGCGATTGAACGTTAAGTACATAGACACAGTCTCCGATATTGGCTATAATTGCTCCATATGCCTGAGAGTACCCCAGAAAGGTCGGCTGCATCCGACACCCTTTGGGGGTGCTCCGTGGGGGCACAGTTGGTGCTTCAGACTTCCTAGTTCGTAGAGGCCTGGAGATTTTGCGGGGAAAGCAATGGCCTTATCGACTCGTATATCATGTTCCATTAGCCTTGTGGAGAGTCTTGGTTGCCCCATCATTCACGCTATCTTTGTCCCACTTGCAATACGTACGTTATGTTCTCACATATGTTGGAACAGCTAAAGGCCCAGCCGCTGTATCAAGACCTCAACTGGCGGCTGGCGCTCATCGGCGGAGTGTCATCGCTGGGAGCCCTGGGCTTCGGTTTCGATAACGGGTGGTGGGGAGGCGCGTTGGGTCTTTCCCAGTTCCAGCAGAAATATGGTGAATATGATGACTCCCTTGGGCATTTCGTGATTCCATCCCAAAAGACATCGGTCGGCACAGGTACAGGATCGGCAGGTATTATTCTGGGCTGCATCATAGCACCAATCGTCACATCTAAGCTTGGCCGTCGTAACTCGTTCTTGGTGCTGTCGCTGCTGATGTTAATCGGCATCACCCTCGAAGCATCTGCAGTGACATCCTTCTGGCAACTTGTCGTTGGCCGAATTGTTGTCTACTCGGGGATTGGCTTAGCATCCAACTGTGTACCACTGTACCTGTCGGAATGCTCACCCCCGCGTATTCGAGGTATGTCGTAGCGAATATAATAACGAGGGTAGGATCTCACTTATTGATAGGTGCCTTTCTGGGACTGTATAGTTTCTTCAACTCCCTGGGCGTTTTCTTGGCCTCCCTTGTGGTTTACCTATCCCGTTCAAGGACGGATCAATGGCAGTATCTGTAAGATGCAACCCTGCTGACTGTGAATTGGTATTATGTGAAATCTAATATTCATAGGGTTGTCATCCTCTGCCAGCTGCTGGTGCCCATTGGATATATCGCATTCTATGCATTTATCCCCGAGTCGCCTCGCTACCTCATCTACCGTGGTCGCTTTGAGGAAGCCGAACAAGTACTGCGATCGCTGTCGAATTACCCAGACACGATTCCATATGAGGTGGAACTGCTTAAGGCCCAGACCGAGGAGCAACAGGAGCTGCATAAGGCAACGTCAATCTGGGACTGTTTTCGAGGCTCCAACCGGAGACGTACGATAATCGCTATTGGGGTCCAGGTGCTGCAGCAGGCCCAAGGCGTTTCCTTCATTCAGAACTTTATCGTCACGTTCATGGAACAACTGGAATTTCCTGACCCCTTGCGCACCAATCTCATGGTGACTGGCTGCAGCTTTGCTGTCCACATCATCACATTCTTTAGCTTTGACAAGGTCGGTCGAAGGTACTCTTTGTGCATCGGGTCAATTCTCCTCGGTGGCACAATGTTTGGAACCGGTATTGCAATCGCCACCGGAGACACAAGCAGTGGGTCGTCCCCTGCAGCGACGGCTTCCATTGCATTTCTGATCCTCTGGTACTGCATGTATGGCTTCACCTGGGGCCCCGGCTGTTGGGTCGTGGCAGGCGAAGTAGGGACTGGCCAGTTGCGGGAGCGCACGTTGTTCCTTGCCTCGATGGGGAGTTTCCTGACATCGGTTCCTATCAACTTTGTGAATCCGTATGTACAAGCACGCCTCGGAGGGTCGGTCACATTTATCTATGGTGGCTTCTCGGTCGTCGCGTTGATCTGGGTGTTTTTGATGGTGCCAGAGACCAGAGGCCGTTCCCTCGAAGAGCTGGACGATATGTTCCAGGCTCAGGTCCCAACCCGGCAGTTCAAGAAATATGAATGTAATGGAATCGGAGCGCATATTACTGGTGCTCAAAATGCACAAAACGAGAAAGCCAAGGTGATTGAGGAGGAATGGGTGGAGAGCAAGGGAGATGCTGGTGCCCAGTAGCCCTGGGCATCGAAAGTCACGCTAAAGAGCAACTGCTGAATGAAAGACTGGGGCGAGGATGGAATGATATCTACTTTGGTGGCTCTTATTATGTAGTCAAATACATGCCGAGAAAAGCTCAACAAATGTGGAGAGGCCTTGGTCGTGATTGAACGAGATTCATGATGGTTATGGTCGCAATTAGGTGGATCATCCGAGAAACCCCGGCCAACACCAGTTAGTTTACAGCATTCTGGCAATGTTATTCCCAACCATATCTCACCTTGCGTCTCCTAATGCATGAAACAGTCCGTGATTGGAGTTCTTTTGTTGCTGTGTGTGTACGAATGGCTTACAGTAGCGCATCCTTTGCGCTTGGCGTGACAGGGAGAAATCAAATAGTGCCTTTTATCCACATATCAGCATGCGGGTCACCTCAAAGGCCATAATGAAAGGAGTAAAAGAAGAAAAGGAAGTCAGAAAAAAAAAAAAAAAGGAAAAAAAGATAAGAAAATAAGAACAACAGAAACCAAACCTGGCATAGTCTTCAGCCTCGTTGTCAGATTTGTCTGCCTTACATCCTTACTTATATATACTAGTCATAGGATTAAGCACAGAGCTATAAGAAGAGGCTTCCTCGCGCACCTCACTAAATAGTATGCAGGACATCCTTCTCTGCTTTTAGATCCGTTTCATCAGCATTGGGACCTGCGAACAACGTCAAACCCATCATCCTGCCTCCCTCCGAGATACAATGGCAGGTTCCGGCTCCCGTGGCCTCCTTTGGTTAATAACTGCGTAAAGTTTAACGTGGGTCACCACCTGCCGCACGTTTCCCGGTGACATTTTGATTTGATAGAGTTGACCGGTGTATAACAAACTCTTTTACAACTTTAGTATAACTAATCAATTTGCTAGGCTACAGAGAATTGATTACGGCTAACACCTCTTCGATTGGAGTCATATTGGTTGAGATATAAAGGTTCGAAATATTGAGGTTCGAAAGTTTCGGTGAGTATGGATATCGTGCGGCAGGTGGTGGGTGACAAACGGTAATGAGCGGCCCGCTATTAGGTTAACCCTTAACCCACCAGTGTCACCTTTCCGTATTACTAGGCAGTGGTCTGAGTCTACCTAGTAAGAGGGTGCGTCGCTCGCCAGTATGCTTCACTGGCCCGTTGAATACGTCTACTACTGGAACTGACAGGAGTACACAGCAACTACGTTCTAGAACTCAATGATTAAGGGTTTTCCATTTAACCTTTAGTATATGCTTTCTAGGCGTGCCTAGATGGCCCTTTCTACTATCTCTTTTCTCTACTTTCTGCTCGTTTCACCCGTTCTAGATCCCTGAGATTATTCTCAAATATCCTATCTATTTTCCTGGCCGCTTCCCAGGGGAAGCAGCCAATGTTTGTTGCTGTTAAAAAAACTATTAAGATCTTCGTGTGTCTCTAGTCCCTGAAGAGGCATTCTTCCGGAACTATTTCTTCTTGCCAGGGAAATACTACCGAGGCTCTAACATAGTGCCCTATATAGAGCCCATCAGTGGTGACTCTATTGCCTATATTCAACTAGTAAATATTTTATTGTTCCTCATGGAACCTGACAGCTCTGACATCTAGATAAGCCCTAGATCTGGTAGGGTGTTGATGACCGAATGTGGGTTAGTGGTGGTTCTCAGGTTACGTTAAATCGTCATGGGATACAGCGCCTTATATTTAACAAATAAACCGTCAACGGTCAGATATACTAGTCATCTATAAAGTAGGATGATCTAAGGGCTGTATATCTTCTGCGTTTCACTAGGCTCTCTCCTTTCCATGACTCCTTAAAGTTTCGTGGATGGAAGAATGGATACGTTGCAAACATACCCCCATCCATCATCGGCGCCATACAGTATTCACGTAGATAGTTCAAAGGTAACGTGGGACTACTTAAGTCAGAGAACCAAATGATCTGTAATCTAAGTTTCATCTGCGGTCTCCAAGTATATAACCACGGATGGCTTGGCGAACCAATGGTTGAGCTCCTACCCATTGCGGAGTATAAAGATATTATTCTAGGCCTTGATATTATCTTTAAGGAGACATCAGGACCAGACTTTCTACGAGTAGTAGATCTAGGGTATACCTGCACAGGACGTGGATACGGGTAGTGTTGAACAACCACAGCCAGCCACAAGGTTCAGTAACCTAAATCTTTATCCGCTGTGGGGAGAAAGTATACATACTATTATTAAACTGACTACCCGTAGCTTCTCTAACCCACGGTTGAACTCCTGCCAAATGAGGAGTCCTTCTCCAATTTATATAAGCTTTTAGCTATCCGGGCTATAGAGACCATTGGGGTAACCCTTTTTTCTTATGAACCAAGTGTTGGGCATAGTTAGACTTCTGCTGGCCCACACGCAGTCTGTCATGGGCTGAGCCCGGCCTAATCCATGGGCAGGAGCTTGAGGCTCTCCACCTTTATTTTACGGGTCTGACAACCGCCATCAGAGGGTCGTCGTCCGCAAGCGGGGACGAGGTTTAATATGAAACAACCATTAGAGGTTATGGCTGCAGTCGCGGCAGTTCCAGTGAGATACGATGAACACTGCACATCCTAGAATTCTGTAGGGTTTATTATAAAGAGTCGGCTTATAGCGGACAGACACCTGTCAATTATGTGATAATTATTATTAATACTAAACAGTAGAATTGCTAGAAGTCTAATTATAAGACCCCTTTACAACTCTGGGGCTTCGGTACTTTATCATGCATGAATAGTCGTTACATCTCAGTAGTCATGATGTCATGGCAATTCTCTTAGCTCAGCTCCCTACAATGCCGGAGTCACTGAGCTCCTGGGAATTATCCTTTACACTTTGTTTCCATCCATAGAAAGATAATTCTAGTTGCCACCATGCTAGCGCAGCTGCACATGGCTTGGCTCAGCATATAATTTGACGACTGACGTGATTGACTCATACTAAGGTGATAAAATATTCATACATGCTTGTGGTGAAGAGTTATAGAATTATATGCTGACGTCAAATATTGAATTGTCTGTTTCCTAGTAGGACACCGTGGGGTGCTATATAGAGACGTCAAGAATTCTTTTTTATAGTGACTCTATTCGCAGTCTTTATCACAACATTGAGAAATTCATCTAGTATTGTGAACTTATTCATCACCCAGTAAATCTTGATAAAAAGCCCTTCGAATAGTTATTCTTTTCTGATAGCCATTATTACCCAATATGACTGTAAGTCCTGACGACCTTATCTTCAACAAACGCATTGGTGGCGTCTATGGTACAGATTTCCAAGATTCTCTTTGGAGACACAATGAGGACTACGCCCCTGTTCCCGTGGACAGCGTGGATGTCTGGTATGGGGCCGGCCCACTGGATCATACTATCCTGAAAGCTCTCCAGGTCCATTGGATCAATGGCAAGGAGAGCCCCGTTGTGGGCGACGAGACACGAGATGCCTTGCTTCACACCCGCTATGATTTCCGAAACGGAGACTCGGTCAAGTGGCTGAAGCTGTTCGGAACCGGCGTGGAGCTCAAAGACCAAGATGCAAGGACTGATTCAATTAGATTTGAAGAACATGATCCGTTTGCGGCTGGCGGAACTTGGGGTTATGATAGTGATGATCTACAGGGTGGAAAACAAGATCTTGGAGATGGTGTACTCTATGGCTTCGTGGGAAGTGCTGGTACCGACATCAATTCCCTGGGGACGGTTTTTCACAAAAAGGAGTAAGTATAAACTAGAATAGTTGGGCTTTTGTATTTACATGCATATACTTACGGGGAGCTAGGTAACCATAGTATGTGCCTTTCAGGTTAGGAAGGTGCTTGGAAAGTGACAGTCTATTAACTTGACTTGCGTATTGCTTGTACTTAATTCAACTTCTTTTGCGGGATAGGTGATGAATGACAAGTGGTTAATATCGTGTTTATATCTAATGAAAAGATCAATAGTTAACGCAATTAGACTTCGGCAGAACCCACGAAAGCCCAAGCCCAACCGGGCCCGGTTTCGGGGCCCAACCCAGGCTCAACAGTGCAAACAAGCCTTGACTCAGTGATTGCATTAGTTATTTATCAATAAGGTACAAATCCATCATCCTCTCTACTTTCCCGCTTCCTCCCTGATACCCGTAGCTGTGTGCTACTCGTTGGTAATTGGGGATCAGTCCTATCATCATCACCATTACTATCTACCTCTATTAGATTATTATATCTATTGTCTTCCTCTTCAGTATCACTGATAGCCTCTATCTCAATGTAATCCAGCTTATCTTCGTTCTCTTCCGTTACATCCTCTATCCCTTGTAAAGTGAAGAATTCCTCAAGATACTTTCTCTCTTGCTATTCAAGATCAAATCTTGCTGTACAAAGAACCATCATGAGCTCCTCAATTGTTTCAGATTTTATACTCCCGCGGCGGTTATGACAGATATCTCGAGCAGGATTAAAAAGTCGTTCTACACTAGCACCTGTTGCTGGAATAGAGAGAATATCCCGAGCAATTGAAGAGATTGAAGGAAAGCAGATTTGGTTGTCCCTCGAAGAGGCTCGGCGTCAATAGTATCTTATTAAGAAGATAACAAGGTTAGACTATTCTTTGGATTAAGTAGTATTAAACATACCACTATCAAGATATTGACTGATTTTATCACCGACCGGCTTTGCCTGTGCTTTATGCCGATTTAACATCTTGTAGAGCTTTCAACTTGGTCTCGCTGTAGCTTAGGAGCTTGTAGAGCCTTGGATAGTAGCAAGACGTTCCTGGTAGGGAGCCAGGGCTTCTTGGAAGGGTTTCCGGTATTGGTTGCGCCATAGCTTATTCCAGTCATCGGAGAGAAAGAATTGGAACTGGTTTTCACGCGCTATTATAGTACGAATTGCATAAATATGCCCTAGCATGTTATCTGTCTGCGGGTAGTACTTATCTAGCTTGAGTCGGCCAGTCTCAAGAGACTTAAGCATCTGCCTTTTCTATGGAGCTCACTTCCGCTGGAGCTGCATTATTGACCGTTCGAGATGACTAAAAAGTGCATTACAGATCTTAAAGATAAGGTATATTGTTAAATCTCGAGTCTTTGATAGCTTAGTGGTACAAAGAAGGTAGTCGACTTGGCGCCACTCTTCGTCATTCATGAATAGTTCTTCACAGCCATATGCTGCTGGTGCATAAAAGGATTTAAAGACTGAATAGAGTCGCTTTGCTCGACAAAGCATTGGAAAGCTAGAATACCATCTAGTTCTCACATCTTAGATTGGTACAAGTTTTGGGCCGTTACCCAAGTAGCTAAAGCGGTTTCCGAAGTACTGTACTTTGTAGTCCCCATATCGAACCTGCTGAAGGGTGTCAATATAATGCAGTGTACTCCCAGGCCATAACGCAATTATCTTCCAGTCCGCTGTATTGCCTTTGTACCAGGACCGACAATCTTGATTCCACACCATATCTTTCATATATTGATCCTTATGCTCGATAAAGTCATTGACGGCTTCCTTAGTCACCTCAATCGACCTTACGCCTTGCTGTTGAATACGCGTGATGTGTCTGCAGATATAGTCTGCTTGAGCTAAGGGATTATTAGCGATGAAACATCGACTAGGGCCCTTTCAGAGAACCATACCCTCAATGCCTACCAGTACTGGTCCGTTACCAATCGGGCTATTCGGCCCAAGAAAGATATTGTAGTTGGGGTAACCGGGATCAGTAATTCCGAGGTAGGACCTGGGCTCATCTTTCTAATCATTTGAAAGCTGTCGGCCGTTCGAGCCCGTGAGCGGGAAGCGTGGCTTGAAAGTAGTATCGAATCCGGTCTATAAATTATCCATCATGAGATATCAGTTCTGCCTTCCCTAACATGCGATGGAGCTTACTGCGCAGATCAACACGTACACAGGATACTCCTTTCTATCCTCCATTTGACAGCCGCGACCGGTGATCCTATTAATCCCACCATGGACAACCGTGGCCTTGGGATGGTTCAGAGATTGTAGGTATCCCACACCGGGTGTTAACCTAGAAGCAGCATTAAGAGTTTGACACCCCTACGAGCACACTGTTGCAAAAAAGGTCTGGGCAATAGTACCGTCGACAGCCAACGGCCCATGAAGAAATAACTTTCTCCGCTAACCCCGGGATGTTGAGAGCGTCCTTCATTGAATCGACAAAGAGGTTATGTGCGTCGTCTTGAGCCTCGGACTTTGCAAAGAACAAAGGGTATATATTGTTCATATTGTGCTCAAGCCAACACCGGAAGGTAAGCAATGCGTTCGGATCCTTTGTGAACCTGTCCTTCTCATCCGGCTCGAACCTTCGTGGCTGAAACCCAAAAAGGCCGCTGACAGCAACCCATGTTGGCCATCGAACAAACGTGGTACAACTGGCAACCTCGGGGAGAATGGCTGGGAGAATCTGAATCTCGGGTGATCTGTGACTGGATCAGTTTTGTTGTATGTGTCGTTCTATACTTCTGACAGTTCCGTACCCATTTCCAATTAATCCCACATGCTTTTCCTTTAAATCAATGTTGGTATCCCAGGGGGAACTGTGTACTAGCTGTCCCTCAAAGTCATGCAGCCCCGGAATAGTGGGATATTTCAAGCCTTCAAAATTCCTTCCGCATTGACAAGAACATCACAAGCATCATGCACCACGGTATTGTTTGGGATATCTTTGATATCGGCGTTCCACTTACCCACCTCACTGTCCCACTTGGCTCCGATGACCTGGTGAGACACTTTTGTTTTCTCGTTCAGCTTCAGGCGAGATTGAAAGCCTTTGAAGTACTCAAAGACCTCACTGGAAGAGCCATAGATGCTTGACCAATTCGGATTTGGACCAAAGGACTAGCAGACGGGGTCTGTCAGTGTCACAAACCCCGGCTGATAGGTATAGAAAGTAAAAGGCCCTGTAGTCTGTATGTACACACCCAAACATATGTGGGGGAGCGATTGTCACAGGCGCATCCCGGATATCGATTCTCGTACCAGGTCCCGCCAATGTCTGGGTTCTTCTCGTAAATCTGAAACTCAACATCGTCGAAGTTGCGCTGGAGCTTATAGGCCATTAGAAGGCCACTAGCACCGGCCCCAACAATGATCACCCGAATCTGGCGGTTTGTATTGATGGGATTCATCATCTTGTAGGGAGTGTAATCCGTTAAACAATCTGAGGGCTTCCCAACTGGGATAAGGTCGTTTATAGTACTTCTGACACTATTGAAGGATAGGATCTATCTGAACAGATGGCTACTAAAACTGTAAGAGTTTACAGTAGAAGGTGCCATGACTAGGGCCAAATCACCCCACAAGGGACGACGTCGTGCACCTATGATCTGATCGTGCATTTCGAACACGCACCTCGTCGTTGTCTCTGAAGGTAGGCGATTGGTCTTAGCACACCTCCAATAACATTTACACCAAAAGCAAAACTTGGCAAGCACAGCCTGCCGAGGATAGGCCAGTTATGTGAATAATTCCATGTACTAAATTACAGGTTATGCGCAGTGTGTAGGACATAAGTGCTGCCTATGCAAACCCTGTCTTTAATACAAGCCGATAGCTATCAGGTCGAGCCAGTTGTTAGACAAAAGGTGTCATTAGCATCACCTAACAGAACATCAAATTTCATATCGTCCTTTTAGAGGAAGTCGACTATTACACTGTAGTGGCATAATCTAGGCGTTCGTCGTGCAGTCAAGCCTCTTACAAGACTGTACAACTTGATACATTGGGTCGAGCACTGCGGGGTTTGTAAAAGAAGATCAAAATTTACGGAGATTCCGGAGAACAGGGGAAAAAAAGGGGAAGATGTCCATCTATTCTGATTCAACTGATATAAATCTACTGCGGGTCTTCCGTATAACACCAATAAGGATGACTGAAATGAAACGGAGTTGATTTCCGCAAAGACCGTTATCACTTGCCGACTCCTACACTTTACCGATGGCGATCGATCGGCAGCCTGGATACTAAAGATAGTGGTCATGTCTGGAGCAAGTTCTAGATGTGATCTAGCTGCTAGTAAACACAGTAGGGAACCAGAATCGCGACATGGTATGGACTACACCGTTTTGCCAAAGTCGTTGTGCAAACCGGATATCCTCATTGCGGAATGTTTCCGTAGAACCGACATCGATAAAGGTCGGCGGCAGTCTGGATGAATCGGTAGCTCGCACAGGTGCTGTGTAGATCGATACCTTTTCTGTTCCTCTACGTTCCCCCAAGATAGCATTCCACGCCTGCAGGTTGTTTTCACGATCCCAGACACCAACCCCGGCGAACTGATTGGCCGAGACTGTATTACTCCGGTCATAAATCATAGGACATGATAAGACCTGGCCTAGGATTTGAGGTCCCCCACGGTCACGGGCCAATAGTGCCACGCCGGCAGCGAGACCTCCCCCTGCGGATGTGCCAGCAATAAGAAGCCGGGAAATATCGATGCCGAGCTCCTTGGCGTGGTTGACGGTCCACAGAAGCCCACAATAACAATCCTCAAGTGGTGCCGGGTCAGGGTGCATTGGTGCCAATCGATACTCGACAGAGATGCAGACCACGTCAAGTTCCTGGACAGCCTGCAAGGCCCAGGATATAGTCGAGAACTGGTTTCCAGTAATCATCCCTCCACCATGAATAAAGTATATGCCGGGACGTTCTCTGGGTTCGGATTGTTCTCGGTAGAAAACGGAAGCCGTCACTTGGTTCCCGTCTGGGCCGGGGAATGTTCGCTCCTCATGGGACAGGCCGGTGGGTAAAACATCCCCTAGTTTTGGTAGAGGTAGACCACCTGGCTGGGCAAGCGCATGTAGGAGAGGTTGCAAGAGTACTTCCAGTTCGCTATCGAATGGTGGCCTCTTTGCGATCGTCATTGTGCAATTAGTTCAATTGAAAAAGCATTGGAAATCCAAGTTGTGCGGTACAATGGAGCGGGATTGAGATGGTAGACTTGACCATTTATAGGGCGAAAGCCCTTTCATTAAACGAACAGAATCTTCACTTTATGCATGCTTATCACAGTCTTGGCGGCAAGGTAGAAGAGGGATAATCCGAAGGTGGATCCAGATGTCAGCTACGTGAGATTCGACGCAAGGTCTTCAATCACTGATGCTGAGCCTCAAAAACCATTTTTGAACGCAACCCAGACTACACATATTGGTCTTGGGCAAGCATTCGCAGCACAATGGATGCACTGCGGACACCCTGCAAGGAACTCCGACGTACCTGAGATGTGTTCTTCCCCGCCCGAAGGGGATCAGCGACTACCCACTGCAATCTTGGACGAGGTCGTCCACCCGCATAAACGAAGGAGCCCTGTTAGTAAGAGAAAGACTCACATTCGTACGTGTGGGGTTAAACTATTTTACATGCACCAATTTGAATATGTTCATTACTATTCACCCTTACGCTCATCCATTAATGATCAAAGGTATTTACTAGATGTACAAGATGAGGGAATCTGTCAGCCCATCCTCGCTTTAACTTCCAATTAGAGTAGGTGTAAACATGATCCTCGAATTGTGGATTCAAAGCCCAGTCGCCCTCAATGTCTCTCATTATTGCATATTGATCCCCAGGCCAGTGGACAGTAATAGCATCTGTTGTTAATCTGCTAAAGCTGAGTTTGTCTAAGGAAGCGAAGTTCAGGATAAGATGTTCCCGTAGATCTGGCCATGCAAGGAAGTCGATACATATAGGATGGGGCTGAGTTCGCTGGAGCTTCGACGGACGGTACCATGAGGGAACATCTCGAAAGGTCTCTGGGATAGGGTAGACTCTCCACTGTGCATTTAGCAGGTGTTAGGACGAGGTGCGTTCAAGTGATAAGATGCTATCAACAAGAGAATAGGCCCACTCGCAGTAAGCGGTACATGATCAAATAGATGGCTACTGTATCAATCAGTGAGGCAGGGCTGCTTCTCTTCAACATAGGACCCACTACTTCGACAACAGGGTTAAGGGTGTCCTCTAATAATAGTAAACTCGCTATCTTGGGGGTGCGCGGATAGAGCTGTGGTGCAGCTGGGGTGTACTGTATGGCGGTGTGGGCCTTTAGCAGCAGTTGAATGGTATGGAAGTCTGTGCACTCCTTAATGCTTTGATGATGGATACCACAGAAGCATTCGCAGGTAGATGCAATGGTTGGGTTGGCGGTAGAAAAGGGCTGGTAGAGTCCCTTACCGTCGTCCAGTCTGTGGCTATCTACTGGGCAACCGCCAGGTGGATGTGTATGTGTGGAAGCCGAGTGATTTGGTGTGATCCGCACTTTGCCTAACATAGTACATACTGGGACTGGCGGTGCGTGTCCGCTGGTTACACCTTCCATCACTCCTATATTTGCCTTACTAGTCTTGAGACAGTCCGAGACTTCATGAATTTGCACAAGTTGGCAGAGCCTGTCCAATCTACCCAGTGTCAATGTGAGGTCTTGTCGCAACTGGGACATTTCCTCCTGGATCGTGTCAGATAGCCGCTTGGCCTTCTGACGTCGGAGTCTCTGGTGTTCTCGGTCTAAGATGCGTTTGCGCTCCAGCTGGGCTGCATTGCGTATTCGGCCACGTCCGTGGGAGGATTTCCGACCCGTTGACATACTAAGGATTGTGCAATTTAGAATGAATTGTGGAAACGCTCTTCAAAGCCCCCAAGATACATAAAGACGGGATCAAGCGTTGCGGAAGATATGATATGGGATGTTTGATATCTACCCCGCATTTATCTACACTGTGGAATGTGGGGTAACCTCTCTATTGCCGAGTTGAGTCCCAATACTGGATGTATGTCCCACTGAAGATCCGCTTTCATCCAACAAACGCAGCTTCACCGTTGAGATCAAATCCTTGTAAGACACCTAAAAGAATTCCATACTCCTTCTGGAGACATAAGTTAGCGATGCCACTAGTATTGCGCATAATCCTTGCAGTATGGCGACGTTGGCTTCGTGATCTTCTACTTCGACGAAGAGTTACGAATCTAAAGCTATGGCTGACTTGCTGGCATATCTAGGGCTTAATGATAGGGGGTACTTTGAGGCTACACCTCAAAAAGAATGCAACGATTTAGTGTATTGCTTTGTGGCGAGCGAAGGCTGATATTGATTATCTCCCTGTGAAGTAAGGTAGTTACAAACGTGAGCGTCCTGCGATTACTCCTCTCCATTCTGCTTCCGCCAAAAGACTCGGTAATGTCGCTCCTTACCAAGCTGAGAAATATCTCTCACCTCCTCCGGGGTCAGCTGGAATGTAAGAACATGAAGAAACTCCTGCAGCCGAGATTCCTTGCTACTCGTGGTGACTGCCACATCTCCGCGGTCCACGGACCACCTCAGTAGAACTTCTCCTTCTGTGACCTTGTACTTCGCAGCTAATTCAGCCACCTTGGGGTCCACTGGCCCTCCCGGTGCACGCAAAATGGGAGTCAAGGGACTGTAGCTCGCTATCTTGATCTCCTTTGCCTGCTGGAAGCGGACCAGCTCCTCCTGCTGCAAATAGGGGTGGTGCTCGATTTGGTTGATGACGGGTGCAATGGTTGCAGTTTTGAGCGTGGTCTCCAGATGTGACTGGTGATAATTTGAGACACCAATCGCTTTGGCCTTTCCAGTTTGCTGGACCTTCTCCATGGCTGCCCATGCCTGTTGCAGTTCGCCGTCACTTTTTGCAAAGAAAGGTGAATGGATCAGGTATCTGTTTCAAGATGTCAGATTCTGTTGATCACTCGTCATAATTGCACCTACAAGTCCACATAGTCTAGTTGGAGTTTTCGCAAACTCTGGTCAATGGCACTTGGAATATCCGCAATGTTCGTAATCACCTTGGTTGTGACGAAGAGTTCCTCGCGTGGAATTCCGCTCTCTTTAATTGCTACACCCAGCTCGGCTTCGGTGCCATATACCTCAGCACCATCCAAGTGACGGTAGCCCAGGCGAATTGCCGTCTTGATTGCTTCCACTAACTCGCGGTTGATTGAATCGTTGCCTTTCTTGTACCAGGCCGTACCGGTGCCGTAACCAAGCTGTCGCCATCGATTAGTGTACAAGCAGACCCAGCCGCAGAGAGTCTTACAATTGGTATAGACACATTGTCATTAAGCTTCACACGTGGTGTTTGGGGGATCGCGTTGCTCGCCATTTTGAGGTAGACGTGACAAGTGATAAACAAGCGGGCGAACTGTGGCTCTTAAAGTGGGTGGGCCCGTTGGTTAAGAAGAAGGAAAAAGAGCGCGGCAATTCCGCACAGTTGGATAATCAATACAATCACGTCTTCATAAATTCGTCATTCGGCATTGGGATGTGGAGTCGATCCACCACCCTTTGCACAACCAATCCCGATGCTACTTTTCGCACCCCAATCCTGTAATTACCCACTTAGGCTTTACTGTGGATTATCGCCGAGGTTGCAGAAACCAGGGTTTTCCACGACCACGTGGGGAGCCAGAACCCTGGTATGGTGAGCTTCTATATCATATCTTCCATGCAAATACTACTAGAGTCGATCGAGTTCCCCGCTGAACCTGCCCCGAACCCAGCCCTTCCGGAGTATTACCTACAGGCACCTACAAATAACAACAACACTGAATGGAATGTTTCGCCTCTTGATTTGCCTAAAAGGTTCCACTATGGCTTGGGTGAGCTTGTTGGTATTGCTGCTGCTTCAACTTCGCCGGCTGTGACTGGGATGTTTTCAACTCCATTCCTCATAATAAACGCCAATACACCATCTCCACATGATGTGTTTGTAGTGCATAAGGATTTGTCTATTCTGTTTCATTTGCTTTTCCCCGCCTATTCCGCACAGTAACTTCCCTGATTCCAGAAGAACTTCATGCGCGGCGTCACATCTGGAACTTGACAGAAGGGTCTAATGCAACCAGTGATCTAGATACAGTTGGCTCTGCCAACGTGTTAAGAGCGAGAGTTTGCTCTCTTCTGTACTCATCCAATTCATTTTGTAGGTTATTAATGCAGGACAGCAGTTAGCTCTACTGGCTACTTATGGTAAGGTTCGACAGGTAAGACTGTATTGGTATTGTACTAGTGCTCATTGCACAAACCCCAGTCTTGTTTCTCATCATAGATAGCCTCATGCCAATGAATCCACTATTAAGCATGAGACAGGCATGGACTAATCTCGTACAGCATGTTGTCAGGTCTATCAGACCTAATTCTATATCTCAAAACTGGTTCCTCTGTTGGTCAGGGTACTACTTTGTGACGCATTGCTTCAGCCATCTTTCGCTGTCTTGGAATTGATGATCGCATTCGGTGCTACATTCTCAACTGATAGCCCTACGCGACTTACTCGACCCGCAGCACAGTAGTATGTATAGCAATGATTAGTGGGCTACAACATACACCTGCGTCGGCTTCGATATTTGTCCGACAGTGGGAGATTGATTATCCCCCTCTTATTAAGATCACCAGAGTACAGTCATGTGACTACTGGCTCTACTAGGACAGTGATGATGGCGGCGGTATAGAAACGTATCGTTGTTTGATAAACGCTGTTGGAAGATCCTGATTCAAGAAGGGCTTTCGTGCCATGTCATAAAATCGGTAAGTTGATGGATTTTCAATATTGTTTCTTTCAGAAACGACCGCGACTTCTATCTATCTAGACGAAAACATCCGGAATGGAGTTAGGCATTTTGTCGGGTGACACTTCTTGCTCTCAATTTCTTGAAAAAATGCAGATTATGAGCCAGGTTGTTCAAGCATTCTAAATTATAGTTTGCGAGCCATGGAAACTTGTGCGTGGCAGAGGCACCTAGTGAGAACCTAGAAGTTCACGGTAATGCAGTGTTAAGACTATTAACATAGGCATATATTAACATTGAGTCCTTACATTGTGGCCCCAACGTATCTCAGCTAATCCAAGTGGCGTATTGGTATATGGGAAAATGGATATCTGTAACCAGAATAAGTAAGGGATTGATGTATATAGGATGAAGATGGCTGCATAAAGTTCTTCCCAGGAGAGTCCCTCTCCAAAGCCTTACGTAAATTGCTGACGGTTCCCCTGTCAGAGCCAAGCAGATTAAATCAAGAGTTGGGTCTATCTGGGGTATTTTGCTGCGAAAGCACATAGTGCAAAGATGTGGAGTACTCCAATCGACTACGACTTACATGCTGGGATGCCGCATATAAACTGGAGTAGACGTGTCCGTAACCTCGTGATCAGTTGACATAGCCCTGTTCCTAATCCCATATATAGAATGGAAATATATCTTGTTTTGTAGATCAATACCTACCCAATTTAGTACTTTCGGTGCACATCATCGATATTGCATCTCACTAAACTACAACTTAGATATGCCATCGGGGTTTCCCGCCCTTGATCGAGCTATTTTTACGGGAGAAAGTGCCTACTCCTACCATGCAAGCTGGTAGATACATTACACTTGGCTTGTAAATGCCAATGGGGCTAAGCAAAAAATCCGTGTTTTAATCGGCTGCTGCCGGCCGTACTTCGGCTGAACAAGAGCCAATATACGCCAACAACCTTTTTCCCTCCATGTTCACATATTCTACTTTTAAAATACGATAACATAATCGCTAAGCGCGTATCGGCGCGTGTGTAGAATATTCAGTGCCGATCAGGTACCTACAGTACAATATCAGTGTTGTGATCCAATGTCGATCAGGCGTTCACTGTACGATGGCTATGTTGTTGTCCAATACCGACTAAAAGCACAATAGGAAATGTGGAAGTGGCCATGTGTATGATGCTCTGCTAAGTGTTATGAGTGCAAGGCAAACACATCAATATGGTCATGTTTTCCGGTTTGCGAACTGAACTTGATACCATCATCTCAAACTGTCCAACTCAATTACAAACCTCCGGAAATACGGTCTCCATAATGAAGCTCATTTCTATGTCGACCGCGCTTTTTCTCGCTCTCATTACTGCGGTCATCGCATGTCCCACGATGAACGTCAAGCGAAAGTGTATTGAGAAACACTGTGACAATGCCAATCCGGCCACATGCTGCCCCGACACTTTTGGATATTGTGACACAGATACCGGCAATTGCCACTGTGGAAGAGACTGCTTTCCATGAGAATAAGGACAGATAGGTCGATGCATACGCTTAGTACCAGGGAGTCATCACTCATCGGTTGTCTTACAGCACCGGCATGACGTTCAGTGTACGCAGTGGATCGGCCTTATTCAAAATTTATCGAAGGTTTACCAACGTGCTTATGACTGCCCAAATATAGGCAGCGTGACAGGAAATAGTTGTCTTGCAATGTTTTGTACCAATTGTTAGTTTCGGAATTGTCACTGATTGTCGGGGTTGAGTCAATGAAAGCTTGGCCTGAAATGTCTATGTCACCTATATCGCACAAGAATTTAGCCCTTGCTTCAGTATATATTTCTATCAGCTCCCGCACATGAAACCGATACTATCCAATGTTGCAGATACACTGGAAGCTTTCCCCGATAGCTGGCACTGCAGCGATCATGCACTGACTCATCCGAAGCGGAGTAGTGGTGTCACGTGGAATAGGCAGAGACAAGGCTGCAGTGTTGGGTAACAACAGGTGATCTGAGATGATGACAGCAAGACCAGTTCAAGGGCCCAATGTTTTATCAATTCATCGTATATGAGGAATATTTCCCTGTTGAATGCGACGAAATTTGTGCGGCGAATCCTAACAACACCAAGGAGGGCAATTGAATCAACCGGTAACCCTAAGAGTACATCTACTAGACCCAAACATGAGCGAGATTCTTGGCCCTCCCAGGTTCTCCTTCGAGCACGATCAACGCCAAAGTCCGCTGTTCTCACGGCTACCATCCGAGATCCGCGAGGAGATATTTGCATTTGTCCTGTCTAGTTATGATGACACGACTCGAGCATACGAGAAAGAGACCTATTGGACTCGACCAGGTCATTATGGCCCACAGCATGTCTCGACGGGCCTCCTCAGGACGTGTAAACGAATCTACACCGAAGCGTGGTTTATGCCGTTCATCTTCGCCGAGCATACTGAATACCTTACCGCGCCGAACAGGAAGCCACGATCAGCTACGTGGAGCGATTGTCTCAAGATAATGGATGCTGATTACGAAAAGCTCCAACCACGTTTTATTCGCATCTTCGCACAAATGTGGGTACTCGAGCCGGGCGATCGGCTTCAAGCGACACTCGATATGCCGCATTTCTATCCCAAAAAGATCACGCTCACGATTCGATATACCGACTTCTGGTTTTGGGAGGACGATGAACCTCTCCGGATTGATTCAACATGGGTGAACAAAGTTCGTTTCCCGGAGAGCGTCTCACGGTTTTGTATCGAGTTTGAATCCATTGAGCGACGTAAGAATGAGGTCGACTATATCGCCCGCGAAGCCACAGAGAAGTGGTATTTCCGTCGGAAAGATGGACTCTTACTTACTCCCCATGAATCCGAGACGTCATTTTTCAAATGGACTGGTAGCTCATGTTTGGGGGGCGAGCGCTGGATCCGTGATGAGGTTCGACCAGGGGAACTGGATTATTATGTTAGGACCGTGACATGGAAGCTGTCGCGAGAGCATGAAGCACGGCCCGGGTGTCCGAAGCTCCAAGTCCCCTATACTATGGAACGGGAATTGCCCCCATACCTTGCTGGTCCTCCATGTTTGGATGTCTATGATCTTCGTACAGCTGAGATACCTAGCAGTTTGCCGGCTGCTGAAGCATATGAAGCGTTGGAAAAATATCGCCAAGTCAATGATTTAGACTACGATTCCTACGATAATAACGACGATTCCGATTCACTCTAGTCAGGGTGAGACAGACCAGGAAACTGAGAACCAGGAGCAGGCCAGTGGTAATAGTTTGATCATTGTGACAATTGGCGTGTGCGGGCCATTTAGGATTGAAGTTGTGAGCTGCGTTCCAATCGGCAACGTAGCCTCCCCTTGCAGTTAGGATGGAGGAGAGGATGATGAAGAAGCTTCCGAATGTCAAAAATTAGGGGAGACGAGTAAAGGAAAAAGATGCAACAGCTAGAGAGTTGGTGTAATCGCTACATGGCAATTTACCTCTATGCTATGGGTTGGTTAGAAGAAGGCTCCAACCTGTATTGACTTGTTCTACAATGGATTCTGCGCTTAATCCTACTCCTGTCCTTATATTAGGTGGCAATATCCCCCAAGAACTCAATCGAGTAACTGACTAGTAAATACCTCTCGCGTATCTTACTCTATGTTTAATTTAGATAGTTTCTCCAGCTGAGTCTTCCTGCAATACTGTCTCTGGATATATCTAATATAATCACTAAGGGTGATGGCCCGAAGAAGGATGCGAGTCATGACCCCTGCCTGGCTCATAGACTGCAGGGACTTGTCAGAAATTACAGAAATGTTCTAATTTGGCTCGAGGATCTTCACAAAGGATGCGATCGGTTCAGTGGTGATGCTCATCCAGGTTCATAGAAAGAGAGGGTGGTGCTATCTCAACAGTGTAATCTAAAATATGGATCCCAACGATGGGTGTCCAGAGGTAAAGGTTCGCTCCAACTCCGATCGGATACGAAGACAGTGTAGACCATGGTTGCTTAAATATCAGGTTGTTTCGACCGTAGTCTAGACTAGTTAGAGTTACGTTCTGATCACACCACTGCCGGAAGCATAAATGGCACAATCACCATCACTCGCTATTTCCACAAGTTTTCATCTTTGATATCAATAACCAGAATATCTGTGTCCTTTCACTCTAGAGCATACAGCCCCCTTCCCACTACCATAAAAATATTAGATAATTTTAATACTTCTTATGCTCTTTAAACTCTATTTATACTTTCAAAGTTAAGAGTCTCTTCCTATTAGTCATTCTCAACACTAGGTATTAACTCAAGTTGTGGTTATGAACTGCAAAGATCATAGGCTAAACGAGACCTGCGCTCCCTACTACTACCCTGCTCAAACACAAAGTAGCCCACACCTGAAAGACCAAAAATGAGGTAAAAGCATTGCATAGGATCCTAGTGTATCTCGAGCAACCCGTGCAACCCGTGCTCCAAACCAATGGATAGGATATCGTCTGCCGTGGGCCGTGCGTCATGGCAATGTCACCGCGACAAGAGTCATAATACACGGGCACGGTTCTAGATCATATGGTCTCCCTCCATATGCATTTTTTATCGAGGCTGATGCCCCACGCAAAGTGCCCCCGCTGCTACGTCCTTATCTTACTCTATAATCCTACCTATTTAATATAACTCTGTACGAACAATGAAGTGTAAAGCGATTGTTGCGATTCCGTTTGCGGGCCTAGCTCTGGCCGGTGCAGTCCTTGCTGGGAAGAAAGAGAATATCGCAGCTAGGGCGATTCCAAACATCTGCAACAACAACGGCGTCCCTGACTCCTTTGGCAGCTGTTCTTGTTACGTCTGCCCTGGTGGTGGCGGACAAGACCCTCCAATTCCTCTTTGCACTGACCGCTACGGCAACAATTGTGCCAATGATGTCGACATGAGTACCTGCTGTTGCGGCTGTTGTTGCACCCCTGTATCTATCCCTCAACTACCTCCTTGCGCCCGGGTCGATTTCCCTATCCCTGAAGAGAATTGTGACTCTAACATCTGCGTCAATTGCTGCGACTGCGTGAACTTCTGAGGATCACAAGTAGTTTCGGAGTTGAGAGCTATCAGTTGTTGTATGGAGTTCCTCACTGGGGTTTAAGCTCGGCCGACTGTTAGCGGGTTCCACTCGTTCAGCAACTGTATATCAATTTGCAAGTCATATTGTACTTTATATTGTTTGAACTGTTCCATCCCCCCCATTATTGCGTATAAGAAAGCTCTTTTCGATCGCTAAGAATGGCTAGGAACAAAAAGTCGTTAGAAAATGCAAGGAAAGCCGGATCTGACTCCTGGGACTCGTGATCAGGTGCCTGGTAGGGAACGGCGGAATTCGAATCGGTTACGTACCATAGGAGGTCTTAATGAAGGGTTTGCTACTATCACGCTATGAATTCCAAATACCAGCTAGACCCCGACAAAATCCATAGTAGTTCCAAGGCATAAAAGAATAATTTCTCCAATACAGACGTGGTTTTTACTCTTGTTTTAGCTTATTCTCTATCTTTGCGTTGTATATAAACCCACGGGCTATACTATCAAGGTCTAGGTAGATTGTGTCTTCCATACCCGTACCTACAAATCACCAGGTTCCGGTTGGGTCCAGCAGGGAACCTAATAAGATGGCCGATCATGCAGAGCTGATAAACAGTGACAAGGCCGAGACAGGAAAAGTACCAGCGTCTAATCTTGATCCACTCATAAATGTATTGTGCGAACTGTCTTTTGATGTCACGTGGGGGAATGAATCAATCATATTTGCCGTGATGAGGATCCCGCTAACTGATGTTAGTGGTGGTGACTGACCCTCACCCAACGCTTGGCAACAGCAACTACAGCCAAGCCAGACAGTACGGAAGGAAGTTTCTCCTTAAGCTGGTCTTGCAATCTCAAATCCCACGCCATCCGATTCGATTCACCTGGGAAGAAGTGATGGACGTTGTTGGCTCACAGTCCTTGCAGGGCATAACATTCTATGATTCTCTGAGGCCTGTTTAGTTGTTACTTGTTGAAATGGAGTGGGATAGATTGTAAAAAGGAGCGATTCAGCCCCTCCAGAGTGGCATTAAACCATAACTGGATGTGATATTCGGAGTACCTGAGGGGCTGTACCAACCTGGACCCACTGATATCCAGCCACCAGACCCACGCAGCTTGGGTCAGTGCTCTTCAAAACTTTGCACATCCACATTTTGCTGCACAGAATCAATTTGTGAACCCGTGTGTCTTTATTTCAACACTGGGTCCAGTGACAGAATTTAAACGTTAGCCTAGCATGAGGCCACCAGTATCTATGGTTTACTGCCGCCACTTAAATTCATCGGACTCTCCCTGATCTATACACATACCTACGCAATATTCCCCCTGCAACCGCTACATGCGCAAGGTGAACCCAAGAAGCCCACCTCTTACTTAGGTCACCGCCGATTCTACTATCAGATTTGAATCTGTGAGCTCCGCTTGAGAGTTCGTTTCTATTGTCCAATAAAGGAAATGCTTCTTAATTTAGGGCGATGAGTGGGCTGTTTCTTCTCTAGGCATTATCAACTAGTTATCCAGTAAGGGCTATGATCATCTACTATACCAGGTGCTTTACCCCACTACAGAGTATTGAAGACCACATCAGCTGAATGATTTGCTCGTTTGGAACCCCGATGTTCAGCCAGCCTAAAAATTATTAGGATGGAAGATGTTAAACTAGTAGGGTCACTAAACTGTGCAATATCTCCTAATAACCCTCATCCCACCATTTCTTTTTGTTTTGTTTTGTTTTGTTGTTTTGTTTTTCCCCTCGTCCTCTACCTAGTTAATTCCCATCATATCATAATAGCAGAATGCATAAAAAGCACTATGTCCAGCTCACTAAGAGCATGATCCCACAGCTCTTTAAAAGAAGATGTCCAACAGTTGATCCAGAGCCATTTGTGGCCGCTGCCCATGTTTTCCCTATGCGCGTCAATAACCATGTCACGGAGAACCTGATTGACTGGTAAGCGTGATGATCAAACAGGAAAGGAAAGAGACATACTGACTTTCTCCTTGAATAAATATACAGGTCCAATATCCCCAATGATCCTTTATTTCAGCTCTCCTTCCCACAGCCAAGAATGTTGCATCCTAGTGAACTGTCAGATATTATAGCCCAGATGCGCGAACCAGGTGTAACAAAGGTAGCCATGCAAAACATTTCTGAGTCGGTCAGAGCACGGTTAAACCCTCATCCAGCGGGTCAGAAGGAGGAGAATGTCCCTCGTGTAGATGGTGTCATGGTGCCGGGGATGCAGCATAAATATCGTGAAACAGTGCTTTTCTTTCCGTCGGAGGTATATCATCCATCAATAATTATAACTCTAAATCGGAATGTATCTGACAATGTAGGGCCAATTTTGTCATGCCTTCTGCACATATTGCTTCCGATGGGCTCAATTCACCTCTGTCGGATCGGGCCAGACATTTAAATCCAACGACGCCGCCCAATTACAGAAATATATTCAGACCCACAAAGAAGTCAAGGATGTTCTGATCACCGGTGGCGATCCCATGGTTGCCCCCGCCGAGGTTCTCCGATCCTACATCCAGCCCCTGCTCTCCTCAGACAACCTCGACCACCTCGCCACGATCCGTATTGGAACCAAGTCTCTCGCCTGGTGGCCATACCGCTACTTGCTGGACCCAGACGCAAAGGATGTCCTGAATCTCTTCTCGGAGGTGGTCGCATCCGGCAAACAGCTCGCGATCCAAGCGCACTTCAGTCATCCCAGGGAACTCGAAGTCCCCGCCACCCAAGAGGCAATTCGACTCATCCGCCAGACTGGCGCGCAGATTAGATGTCAAGGCCCCTTGATTCGAAACATCAACAATTCCTCAGAGACATGGGCACACATGTGGAGTCTCCAGGCCCGACTCGGCCTCATCCCGTATTACATGTTCGTCGAACGAGACACTGGTGCGAGGCACTACTTCTCCGTTCCGTTGGCGGATGCGTTCAAGATCTACAGCGGGGCGTATTCGCGACTTCCCGGTACAGCACGTACGGCTCGTGGACCATCCATGTCGGCCAGTCCCGGTAAGGTTGCTGTGGTTGGGGATACAGTGGTTGCGGGAGAGAGGGTGTTTGCGCTCAAGTTCTTGCAGGCACGCAATCCAAACTGGTGTGATGAGCTTTTCTTTGCGAAATGGAGTCCCGATGCCACGTGGTTGACGGATTTGCAGCCGGCGTTCGGTCAGGACAAGTTCTTCTTTGAGGATGAGTATAAGGATATCGCGAGGAGGGCAGGTGAGGGGTCTTCGGGGCAGTTGAGTGCCCTGATGTAGTTTGTATATACTCCGTATGGAGATAGGATCTGGATTAGTGCATACCAGATACCTATATGCTGAAATATAATAACTACACGCACTTCAGGGACATACTTCTGAACTAGCTACCACCAATCAAAATTCAAATTACCAAGAAGTCGCAATCTATCACACGACGGTGTGGTGCAGCCTTGCTATTTGCCCGCATCTCCAAACCTCCCTCGTCCTCGCGGCTGAGAAACACCTTATATACTAAGGCTGAGACAGCTTAGCAACAACTTACTATATCTAGTGTCTATTGCGCAGAGTTCATTTTATTACACTTAATATTGATTTAACTTTCTTAACTTACGAGTGAAGTATCCTTAATTAACAATAAATACAGCTTTCCCTGTCTCCCTAAATATTATATCTTTTTACCGCCAATTAACAATATCAAGGTTCACAGGAGTCAAAGGAGATTATATTACTAATTATATAACTATTCTAGCCCATTCAGATTTATGTATATTTAAGCAATCAGAGTTGCCAGGTAAAGAATGTTGGGAAACTTGGGATTTCGTGTCCTATTGAGGTTTGTCGAGTCTTATCTTTGTCTTGTGCATATCTATATATTCTATCGGCGCTATTGTCATATTCTGACAGTTAATAATTGAAGTTGGTTCTGTGGGTAATACATCCACTCGAATGTTTAGGTTTACAAACACAGGAGAGGATCTCTACGAATGGCCGTCAAATTCGTACGATGTGAGTTGAGTATGTGGATAGCGTCGTAGTGCTCCAGAGCAGATTTATTCTAGATATGTCAATAACCAACGGGAACAGAACGCGGCGGAGAGCCTAGAGTAAAAATACTCTTCAATGCCGGGCTAATTATCACGTTCACCAGATATCTTCTAGCTATCTCCCTACTCCCCCCCCAAAACCTCGACCTCCAACTATGTGCGTTGTCATACCCCAGCTCTCAATCTATTTGCGATGACCGTGGGCCCGACGATGGCGAAGGAAACGGGTGTCGCGGCGTACCTTGGCAGCAGAGATAGTCAACGTGTCCGAAATACCAGCCGTGCAGGCGGTGCCATCAGCCATGTTTTGTGATGCATCCCACTGCCCGTTCACGCAGCGCTGGAAGGCCGTGCCGCTGTTACAGTACCAGGCACCTTCGTCACTGCAAGAACCACTGAGGACACCCGAGGTAGTAGAAGAGACAGAGGCCGAAGTGGCCGTACTAGCGATGTCATCAACCACGGCCGTCGTCGAAGGAGCGATCTGAGTCGTCTGGGATGGAATAGAAGGTTCTACAGCGGCGCTCGTCTCGACCGCGACCTCAGTGGGAGGGCTGGTGATGGTTGTGGGAGTGGTTGAAGTGGTAGGGGTGGCAGCGGCAGCTACAGAGGCAGTGGCGGTGCTTCCAGCGGTATAGAGAGATGGCCCAGGCATGGTATAGGAGCTGATACTTTGCCAGATATCGACGTAGATACCAGGGTCAGTGTCCTTATAGAGGGCAGCACCCAGGGTACCACTAGGCGATGCGGTACCACTGCCGGTGACTTGCAAGTTGATACACTGGGGATAGTTCTGAGCACCGTCGAGATCCTCGGCACCATGAAGAGCAATAATCTCATGACGAAGGACATAGTAGCCCGCCTCGATATCCGTGGGGATGGTGATGCTGCGACTATAGCTGTCGTCAATCAGCTGATCCGAAGCCCATGTACCGGGGATGTTCGTGTCATCGACCAGGCCTCCAGCATCAATTTTAAAGAACTCCAGAGATGTCTTATCGACATCAGAGCAGGAGCCACTACACTTTGCTAGGTATGTAATGACCGGGCCATGGTGATCGTCGGGCCAGGTGTTCCAGGTCATTTTCACCGTTCCACCGGAAGCTACCGGAGCGGACAGTGCACCAGGAGCAGAGCCACGGTGGCAGATAATGTCGGAGCTATCGTACGCAGTTGGCGCGACATATCCATCATCCGTAGCATTGGTGGACCAGGCGATCAGTTCGGGAGGGTCGGACTCGTAGTAGTACGTGTCGACCAGATAGCCACCATAAGTGGTACCATCTACCTCAATGCTCGAGACATAGCCGTGACCCGCGACCAGCGAAACTGAGGCCAGCAACAAACTTGCTACTTTAGAGATAGACATGTTGAGTCAAAGAGAATAGATGACGAAGGAGTGAAAGGAAAAAAGAACTTCAGTCAATGAAGTATACGTAGAAATGAAAAAAAGAATGGAAGGAAACTTCACTCAACGAAGTTTCGCCGAACAGAAACAACAAAAACAGATATTTGAAAAGAGATGCTATCCAGGCCTTTCCCTCCCATCAAGGGCTTATCAAGCTATTTAACCATTTCCCTAACCTAACTGTATAGAAAAGTACCGAACCACTAAATGACGAAGTAACACTGGTGGTCTAAGCGAAGGACCACCAGTTTAATGAATCAGGAGTATGATGAAGTCTCCATTTGCAGCACTTTTGATACCATGCTGTCGCCTCCGTTGAAAAGATGGATCTAAGTGGAGACGGGGCCGCCAGCTGCTATGTCGGTGTTCCTTTGATTCTCTTGATATCCGGGGCAAAAACTTGGCGGTTGTCTGCAGACAGCACGTAAGCTTGGCTACATTCAAGCTTCTAGTCAAACACCGGCTGTCTGGGAATCACGTTTAGGGGCATTGAAATTGTACTGACGATCTAAGCGAGATCGGGACGTCGGATGCCGGTACCAATCATTTATGGTAGCCCGAAATGCTCCACCAGCTAAAACAGCCGATGACGCAGCTTTTCCTACATTGGCTAAAGGAGATTTTAAGCAGTAAGCGAACTGGATCTGCTGAGGATCTTTTCAAAACTCGGAATTTGGCAGCCTACAGTGGGTGGAAGTAGATACCTTGCAACAACGATGTTTCATTTTTTCTGGCGCCTCTACTTTCGGTCACATTTTTTATGCTCGGAACGCAGTCACGTGCCAAATGCTATCCAGCTTTGAGTAGTCAGCATTTGCATAAATCAGTGCTGAGCGCGGGTAAATATTTAACCGAGGGATTGCTCGACCGACAGCCCCGTGGCCATCCGGCAACCCCAATTGTTGATCGCTGCAACTACATACAGGGCGTAATAGGGTGCCTCACCAAGGTCATATGTAATTGTGCTTTCCAGGGCATGATAGCAGCCAAATGAACTGCCATGGAGGGCATCACCGTTAGCAACGAACGTGCTATGGCTGAGGCTCTTGGTACTGTGCTAACCCACCCCCTTCTCCCCCTGTGTTAAATCCTTTATTGAGCGGAGTTACACGCTTCCGAGATTGGAAGGACGATATGTAGCCTGGAAGAGTCGTATGACATGACAGAGTTTGTGGTTAAGGTTGGGGTTGGCAGTGACCGAGACTAACCCAGAAAGAATCAATAAGAAGTTTCCGCGAGGGTCATTGCAATCGCTAACACTGTCACGGCTGCACCACACCTAGGGTAGGTTATTCTTACTTGAGATTTAGCTAAAAGAAAGCCATGAACTGTCATGTCAGAGTCAAGAGAATAGAAATGAGAGACTCATCCAAGTAGGTCCAAATGGGAGAAAGTCAAATTGTCATCATGACGTGAACTTCGCTAGCTGGACTTCCCAAAGCAGTAATTTTAGCCCTAATGTTGAAAGAGATCCAATTAATACCTTCTAAAGGTCCTCCGTATCTCGCTTCACCATTGTTTACCATTGGAACCGGAGACATAAATCAATGGAAAGGGCCTCGTGGAACCAGATTGTCCCAGAGAATATACGGGTCGGGTTTTCCAGGTAACAGAAGCCAGAACCTAAAACTGATGGACTGGTGACATCAGGACCCAGGAAACCCCGATTGCATTGCCTACGTATTTCAACTCCAGAATGTACGTGTAGAGCATTGATAGTGTAATTGTTTTCTTTCCATAGTTAAATCAGACACTTGGTTGGCATCAACGATGACAGGTAGCGGTCGAACAGGTGATGCCCTGAGCATTCTCTCCCTGTGCATCCATGTCATTCAATGCAGTAGTGCAATTGTGGTGTTGGGTATTACAGCTTGGGCAGTTCAGCACACCAAAACTACGACGGTTATATATTCCCTCGTCATTGCAAGTTGCCCTCGTTTGCTCCCAGCATGGCCGTTACTCTAACAATATATCAGGCAGTTCTGACCCCTGCATTATACGCCATCACCTTGATAATAAGCTGTGCAACACGGCGTCGAAGGGGCAATTTCCTGCCGGTGTTGGCGTTTGACCTAGCATTCTCGTATCTGTCAGTCGAGGATCGCCCTTTCCCTGACTTCATCTCCCTTAGCTTACACTAACGCCTCCACTGTAGTTGGCTTACGGCCTTTATTCTTTTAGCTCTAGACTTCAACCATATTAGCTGTCGTGTCGTCCTCTGGAACGGCGAGACCGTTTGCAGCAGGAAGTACGCTGCCGAAGCCTTCAGCTTTATCGCATTGTAAGTCCCCTTGAGATTGCTTGAAGGGAAGGGTTCTCATTCTGTACCACAGTATCGTCACCTTGGCATCATTTCTCGTGGAGTTTGCATTTATGTATTCTGTCAAAGGCGAGACACATGCAGGAGAAATTAGGGAAGTTGGAGATAATGATGATTTGGGCGCATTGTCGCGAAATCTGCGCAACTTCGGTGTTATGCCATAGGTTGAAAGCGGAATTTGTTCGACTTTGATAGGCAATTGGCAGTTAATAAGCCCAGTAATGGCCGGGAACGACTGGGAATCCACCTCTATGCCCTTGATCTGAACCCTAAGCTTGCCCGAAGAGAGACCTATATCAATTACAGGTTCTGGTTTACCTACACATCCACAAACAATTTAGGTTAGTAATACGTACAGAGGATGTTCCGATCCTGCCGTTTCTAACCTTCGCGCAAGACGTCAGCACCGATTTGTAATGGGACGTTAACAGATTGACTACCCATCCAATCAGTCTGACAAAAGCGCTACACATTTCCCTTACCTATTAGGCAATACACTCTCGCTGGATACGCAGTCACAACCTATCATGGCTATTGTTAAGGTGGAAGATAAGAGACTTGGAACAGGAGGCAGGGCACGAGAACACGGAAGCAAACAGTAACCAAGTCCACCAAGTCTTGAAGCTATATACAGGCCCTTCTATTAGTGAAGCTTTCTAAAGCCAACCATTTTCGGAGGTGCTCCATGGTCTTCAACATATGCCTATGGTGGCAGAATAACCAGCTACGAGTTTATTGTCCTTAGCAATGAAAAGTACAATTTGGCAATTTTGCCCTCTTTCATTCTTGCAGCGACTGTCCTGTTGACTCAAGGAAAGGAGAAAAAAAAGAAAAAGAAAAAGAAAAAGAAAATAAGATGCAAATACGAAAAGCTTATAGAAAGAGGGGTAGCTTCATTATCCTCTCCTCGGTGGGTCTGTCTGCCTCGCGATCAACCTATAGGGCTTGCATATTTCGTCGTCAGCTCTGAACTCGTACCGACCCGGGCCCAAATTGGGCCGCTGTGAGGTCGGCACAAGGCTAATACGTCAAGTCTTGGAGGTCGATTATTGGCTAATATCCAAATCTCATTCTGCTATGAATAAGCCAAGCTATCAACGGATTAACTGGTGACACGCACGTGCCACCACAGATTCAGCGTAAGATCAACGCGATATATAATTGCGTCCTAGCCTAGCTCCCCGACAAGGCAAAGGGGGCAGCGTCAGAGGAGCAACCGTTCAAATATCCCGTGAAAGAAGAAACCAGCGGCAGTATCCTTACAAGTCGGAAACACACATGGCAGAGAAAACGCTCAAGAAGGAATCAGACAGGATGCACAAACGGATAATGGACAACCTAATCCAGGTAGGTGAGATAGACGATACCAATGAAGCGGGTATAGTGGATGATATTGAGCTGAACGATTATACAACTCTCATGAAAACATTGGAGGAGTTTCGGATTTTACAATATTGTATACCTGCGGAACGGCAAGGTGAGGACCCCCAGAATATAGAGAACTGTTTTAGCACAGCTGAGAGACTTACAGGCGAGTTCCAACGGATCTATTGTCGCCTCAAAAAGTACTCCGGGAGTGGCCAATACATAGACCGGGTCCGAGTTCTCCTGGCATATTGGCTCCACCACTGTTTGTCCTCTCATTTTGATCAGTGCTCCGATAATTCTTTCGACATGTGTTTGCCAAAGCGCCTCATAGATCTCTCCCAATATGGACGTAACAGCCGCATGGTGAAGATAACTGTTGACCCTGACATTAACACGGTGTACTGTGCCCTCAGCTACCGGTGGCCCAGGAAGCACCCTATGGTTCTCAAACGGAACAATCTAAAGAAGCTCTGTGAGGGTGTATCCGCCGATAGACTTGATCATTCTATTCAAGATGCCTGCGAGATAGTCCACGCTCTAGGAATTCAGTATTTGTGGGTTGACGCACTAGTACGTATGACATTGTAGTATACAGCAGCTGATACGGTTAACATGGCTTCGCAGTGTATTATTCAACCTACTGATAATGACGACGCCGATTGGTGTGACCAGGCCCCCCGAATGGCGTCTATATATGGTCGGGCCTTGTTTACAATCGCGCTGACCGACGGTACCCGTCTGTCGAAGGCTGCCAAGGACCGTCCATTTCTATACGATATGAACTCCTCCGTCCCAATGCGGGAATGCTCAAATGCTGAAACAAGATTTAAGTGGCTAATGGAAAGTGGGAACGATGACTGTAGACCCGCCGGGGAGCTTGACTTTCGCGGCTGGACTTTCCAGGAAAACTTTCTCTCGCGCCGCATCGTTAGCCTTACAAAGAGCGGTATATATTGGGATTGCCTTTGTGAGGGTGCGTCAGCGAGAAGGCCAGTGGGCGTGATGGGAGGAGTGACGCCTGACAAACTCCGTGATATTGATAATCGAAGGGTGAGGAGGTTAGCCCTGACTCCCAAACATGGAATAATGGACCCGGCTGCCTACCAACTGTGGAGGAGTGTTGTTGAGGAATATACGTGGAGAAAGTTCACCAGAGGATCCGATCGAATCATCGCGCTGAGTGGTTTTATCGAGCGGGTTGAAGCTGCGCTTCGCGATAGATATGATTTAGGCATATGGAACAATGACAAATTGCGATGTCTCGCTTGGTCAACACGGTGGCCAGAGCTTGGGCGACGAGAGGATATAGGGACGCCTTCATGGTCATGGAAACAGATCAGCGTTCCAATTGACTATCGGCTACGCCCCGGGCACTTGACACATAAGATAGAGAACAAAGCGAAGGTCGAACGCGTAGAGACAAAATGTCTTGGATATAACCAATTTACTGGGCGGCTTACGATCACCGGCGCTGTGCTCCACATACAGATCAAAGGCGACCACATCCGCCCGCCAATATACGTACAAAACACCATGACTGTATGGGATTTCAAACCTGATAGACGTCCTATCGAAGATGGAAGCTATAAAACATTGCTGCTCATGCGTTATGATACCGAAGCGCCGGATGTTGGACATGCTCTTGTTCTCGAGCCAACAGGGAGAGCGCGGGAATTCCAACGGATCGGCATGTTCTCCTTTGGAGAGTGGATGACATGTTTAGACAGTGCGCGGACATGCAAGGTACACCGTACCACAAAGGAGATACAATGCCTGGGTCATATTCAAACAATTCACATTATATAGACATGCGTTGCTAGAGACCCAACTTGAATGGCATTCTTAGTAGAGAGCAAGAAGAGCATTTATCGAGCGGAGAATGTTGTGGGCTGAGTATTTTAATACATATTGCACCGTAAATCCATTACACATCGATACTTCAGTGGAGAAAATCAACTGATAGCTTTAATGAAACATATAATCCTTCAGAATTTAATATAACCTTTTCACATATTGAGTCACTCACTAGACAAGTGGTAAATTCAAAAGAGGAGACCTCGGTCGTTACGCTCGTGTGCTTCCTACATCTATACCTTGCGCATCTCCACCTCCTGCCCAGTAAAAGTCACCTAGAGCATATCAAGGGCAAATAGAGATGCAGTATGCCTGCTAAGATCCACGACTATCTTCCTGATGACTCCCAGATGACGCCAGCCCGAGACGCTATTGATCGGACCTCTCGCGAAACACGACGGCATTTTCCCATTCGCCGATTGTGCACGGTGTCGCACATGCTTATCATCATATTCCACACCGAGAATATATACCTCAATAAGCGGAATAATGCTGTCGGGCGTTGTCATTAATTATCTGCTATCTGGGCATAAACACCAAGGGTATTTATCCTTCCCGCTAACCGCGGCTCTGATCACGATGAACCTATGTGTGGCAGCTTTGTCGGTTGACAGACCGAGAATGTAGTAATTACTCCTAGACAATATAACACATCTATCGTAGGACGAATACGTCATAAGCTATTCTGTTACGTACCCACAGCTATACAATCAACACCGCAGCCCGACAGTATTCAGACCTTCATCCACGTTCAATCCACATTCTCCTTCGGGGAAGCAGTGCGAGCGTGTGGCTTACATTCAAGTATTGGAGACAAAAGTTTAGGGCCATCCACCAATGAGCGAGAAGACCATGGTTAAGTAGAGGGGAAACCAAATATTCAGCGCTTGGCTCCCGCTTCCTCTATCGAGATCCGAGGTTTGTCGATCAGGATTGCGGGGGTGGCTTTCATATGCAACGGCCGATCAGCGAGGAGCGGAGGTTAGACTCCCAAGAAACAAATAGGAGCCCTGTATCACGTCAGTTTCGCTGGGACTGGTAGATGTTTCTCAATATTGTCCTTGGGCCCTACTGCCGCGTGCTATTATTCTCATCATCGTTAAAACCATGGCTGTCACCAGCTCTCCGGGATACGTGGGCAATCTGTCATCGGACCAGGAAGCTAAGTTGCGCCAGATATGGTCCATTATTCTGACATTGAATGATATCCCTCAGCCAGAATTTCAAGATGTGACGCTGGAGAACCAAGAGAAACGCCCTCGGTCTGTCCACCGCCGGAGCTCGTCTCTTTCCAAGACCGTGTCCAACACCAGCAATTCAAACCTTCCAAGTGACCTGGATCAGATCCTACTGGGTCTCGGGATCAACAGTACCGAGTTGAAGACCATCCGCGACTGCTTGAACAGGGCCTCCATCGATGAGATCCGCCGCAGCTTGTTAAGTACAGCCAAACAAGATCACCCCGATTCATTGCTCCTCCGTTTTATCCGGGCGCGCAAGTGGGATGTCAGCAAGGCTTTTGCGATGATGCTCGAAGCCTTGGTGTGGCGCGTGAAAGAGCAGCATGTGGATGAAATGATCGTTTCCAACAGCGAACTGCGTGCATTGAAAGAATCTGAGAATAAATCGAATCCCGAGAAGGCAAAGGCCGGTAGTACATTTCTGGCGCAGATGCGAATGGGCAAATGCTACGTTCATGGAACAGACCGTGCCGGTCGTCCGATCGGAATCGTGAAGGCACGACTACACAACCCGAAAGCGCAGAGCGAAGATGTGATCAAACGTTATATCCTGCATGTCATTGAGTCCGCACGACTAGTCTTGGTCCCCCCGGTTGAGTCTGTGGTACGTACCAAGTAGCTCCTCACCTCTACCAGAACCGCACCCCTAGGCGCAATCGATGTCACAATGAAACGAGATATCACTAACGCGACGCATTAGAATATTATATTCGATATGACTGGCTTTTCGCTCTCTAACATGGTAAGCGATTTGACCTCGACTGATCATGGTTATGGCTCACATAGTGTTCTGTTTAGGAATATGCGCCAGTGAAGTTCTTGATTGACTGCTTCCAGGCCAACTATCCCGAGTCCCTCGGAGTCATGCTGATCCATAACGCACCATGGATCTTCTCTGGTAAGCATCCTTTCGCCTCTGTTTCACCGTAGAATGGTAACTGAGATATCCATAGGGATTTGGAAGATTATCAAGGGATGGATGGATCCCGTGATCGTATCCAAGGTCGACTTCACCTACACTGCTGCAGACCTTGAGAAGCACATTTCCCCTGAGCAGCTTGTGAAGGAGCTAGGTGGAAAGGACCAGTACGAGTACAAGTTCATTGAGCCTGTAGAAGGCGAGAATGAGAGAATGGAAGATACCGTTGCCCGGGATGCCCTCTTGTCGGAGCGAGAAAAGATTGGCGAGGACCTACTCAAGGCGACTGCCGAGTGGATTGAGGTTGCGAAAGAGGACGACTCCGTCAAGATTACCGCTGTCAAGGAGCGCAGAAACGATATAATTGAACAGATGAGACTCAATTACTGGAAGCTCGACCCTTATGTCCGCGGCCGTGGCCACTTAGACCGCGAGGGTGTGATAGGTGTGGATGGAAAAGTCTCATTTTATCCCAAGACCGAGTCCGAGGTCCAGACCACGGAGACCAAAGCAGTAGCAGTGAAATACATCGCGAGTACACAGGCGAAGGTGGTGAACGCTCAAGTTTAGGATGGGGGTGAAGTTGGCTTCATCATCTTTCGTCATATACGCTATACTATTTTCTTATGCGATTTACACCTGATTATAATTATGCCTTTCATCCACAATACAAGAGATATCTGCCCCATGGTGCACGTATATTATCTCTCCAGGCTTGTGCCTAGCCATTTGACTAGAGCTACTGATCACTGTTCCTCCTTTACCTCTGATGACCTTCCCGTGTACCGAGTCTTATCGTTCACCAGACATTTCCACACCGTAGATAGCAGTTTAGCCTATTTATGTAGTAAGCACTAGGCGCTCCCTTGGATAACTAGGGTGATAGCTTATTTGGTTCTCAGACCTTGTGGAGGTCGTCTAACACAGTGAGACAGATATCGAGTAGGATCATCCGGCTTAATATTTGAGCAGAGGAATTCAAGGTCTTCCAATAGACAAAACACACCTTATCCAGATGACGTAGTGAGATGGCTCTTCTTATTGATTACACAGTTTCGCTCTATACAGGGTATCTCGGTCGCGGGTTGCAAGTTATCTAAACCCCATGGAGTGAGGAGTCTAGGTCAATAACTGCTGTAACAGAATCGAACATATCCGGTCGTATCAAATATATTTAATTGCATTAAAGCCTAAGAGGCTCCCTTCACACCCTTGTTTACCGACTGCCACTTAGATAATCCAGCTTCCCATTCCCATGGTTAACCTTTTCAACGACATCCTTATACCATCAAGAAATACTAGATGTACTGCATCAACCCATCTACCTAGTGGAGTCGAGAATTTCTTGATACCACGCTTTCTGAAACCCCTGTGCAATGTACAGAACGCGAATTGGCCCATTTTTACTTACTTACGGGACTAACGTACAACGGGCATGCAGAAATTTACATCACCAGCATTGCGCAACCTGACTACTTGTCAAACCCTAACACAACGTGGAATTGTGGATACGGCCCTGCAAGAATTGAATTCAGTATAAGGTGACACCGAATCCCCACCATGGAGATGAGTGCCGCTACATCGGTAACTTCCTCGACTCTACAATCATAAGGTGACTGTTAATTTGCACATTAATTTATGGTACGACTTACACAATGGACCTTACGTATTGTATTTCTATCCAGATGTGTTTGCAGAGTTGTCAATCTCTCCCAGCCCGCTCATCGGTGTAACCATGTGGCGAGTCAGGATCTAGGAAGGTTGGTTGCTGGGAAGAATATCGTTTTGTAGCAACAGCAACAAGAACATTTACAAAATCAGCTAATGCTGTTTGCTAGACATCCGGTATTCCTCTTCGACAGTCGAATTTGTCCAAAGATGGCTGAGATGCACTGCCCTAATGTTGGCCTTCCACTGGACTGGTCCTTGTGTAGAGGTTGTAGGATTTTCCAGTTCATTCATCCTTTTCTTGAAATCCTTTTAATGTCTAGTTGTAACACCACGTTTCTACAATTGGACTATATATATGTATGAAAATCTTGCTAGAAGGCCTAATGACGACCTATGTAGTAGATGGCATGGATTGTTAAGAGGAGCAGTTAGGTATTTCCAATAAGTCGATGCGGGGTGGAAAAGAGAAGACATAGAACTCCCGGGAGAAGACATCATAATGGAAGCCAAAGAAAAGGTTTTAATGTTAACCAAGCTGGTTTGGTGCTCAAGAGCCACATACAAGCGGGGTTGTCAATGCTTTGTGGATTCTTTGGAGAAAAGATCCACCATAACAGCCCTCCACCATAACAGCCCCAACATCTAGCAAGACATGCTTGAGTGGGAGCAGCCACAACTTTAATTCCTCAACAAATCCTGTTTGCCTCCTATGAAGGTCGCGTCCGATTGCATTTGGGAAGCTCCATTTCCATACCGATGGAAGGTTTTGCCGGTCCTGTTGCCTCTACAGCTGGCACCGGAGTCAACGCCCAATTGTATCCTGATGATCGTCCTGGAGAAATGTATTGCGCATTGTACACGAGAGGTCCTACCAGAGAGCTAGACCCACGGGGTAATTCATACTTGCGGTAGATAGGTGGGGGCTCGGGGTAATATCGGTAGCTGGGTGGGTCTCGGAGTTTTATCGTTGAAGTTGCAAGCGGCATTACACCCAAAATGATGAAAGATAGAGGATCCTATATGGATTACCCCAGATAAATATAAAAGAGGAGCTCTGGAGAGATCCCTGAGGTAGTCAGGATGCAGGCCTTTCAAGGAAACCAACATCCGCAGACATATATATCAGGTTGAAAGATGGTTCTTCTTCAGTGTACTCTACTGATCCTGGGTGCAACCCTGGCTACTGCCTGGCAATCACCGCCTTCCGCCTGGTGGAAGGAGGGTGTTGTGTACCAGGTTTATCCCGCCAGTTTTAAGGAAAGCCGAACAGAAACAGCCATCGGATGGGGCGACATCAAGGGCATTATCAACAACCTCGATCACATCCAATCACTCGGTGCAGACATCGTCTGGCTTTCTCCGTTTCAGAATTCCCCCATGAAGGATATGGGCTACGATATCAGTGACTACGACTCAGTCAACCAGCTTTTTGGTGGCAGCCTTGAGGATATCAAGACATTCATCAGTGAAGTTCACAAACGCGGAATGCGGTGCATCTTTGACCTTGTCATCAACCACACCAGCGACAAGCACAAATGGTTCAAGGAGTCCGCCAGCTCTAAGACAAACCCCAAACGGGATTGGTACTTCTGGAGGCAACCACAGTATATAAACGGATCCATGTACCCGCCCAACAACTGGGCCGGCAACAATAATGGCAGTGCATGGAAGTATGACGCACAAACCGGGGAATACTACCTCAACATCTTCAATCCCTATCAACCGGACTTGAACTGGGACAACCCCGACGTTAGACGGGCAATTTTCCAAAATGCCTTGAAGTACTGGCTCGACATGGGCATCGATGGATTCCGCATGGATGCGTTCTCTATCTTCAGCAAGGCGCCCGGGTTGCCCGATGTGCCTGCCAGCGACAGCAACTTCCACGATGCCAGAGACCTGTACTACAACAACGGACCACATGAGCACGAATACCTCCAGGAGATGAACCGCGCAGTTCTCTCCCACTACGACACATTCACTGTCGGCGAGTACGGCATGACAGATAACATGAGCATCGTCCAAGACTACGTAAGCGCATCCCGCCGCGAAGTGAACACCATCTTCCTAACCAACATGTGCGACATCGGCCGTGAGGGGTACGAATTCGTCGGGTGGAACTTCACAGGTTGGCGAGAGGCAATTAACTTCACACAATGGAGCGGTAGTTCCTCTGTGGGTGACGGCTGGAACTCGGTATATCTTGAGAACCACGATCTCCCGCGGTCGATCAGCCGATTCGCAAATGACGCACCCAAATTCCGTGTCCAAAGCGGAAAGGCACTTTCTGTCCTTCTGACGACACTTTCTGGCACCCTGTTTGTCTACCAGGGTCAAGAAATTGGCATGGTCAATGTACCGGACACATGGACCATCTCCGACTACCGAGACCTCAACTCCATCGCCTACTACAACAATGCAACTCAGCACAGAGTCAGTTCCAGTGAGGCTCTCGCGAACCTTGCCCTGTTGGCACGAGACAATGCGCGTACGCCCTTCAACTGGGATAGTAGTGGAAACGGGTTTTCCGTCAACAAAACTACCTGGACTTCGCGAGCCAACCTCGACATCAACCTTGCGGACCAAAAGGACGACCCGAATAGCGTATACAACTTCTGGGTGAGGATGCTACGTCTACGTAAGGAACAGAAAGATTCATTCGTGTACGGTGAATTCGAGTTTCTCGATTGGGAGAGCGAGAGTTTCCTGGTATACCAAAAGACGAGTGAGTCCAATAAGATGGTCGTGTTTATTAACTTGTCCACTGGGGCAGCCAAGCCACCAGTGGCCACTCCCGAGAATGCCGATTTGCTTGTGCACACCCATGACGACCATTCTGGGGCTGTATTTCAACCGTTTGAGGGCAGAGTGTATAAGCTGTGAGCGGCTTAACAAGAACCTAAAGCATCATATAACTTTAACTGGTTTTCCAAATAGCGAGTCAAATCATTTAGTCAACCGTTATGCATTAGTTCCAGTGTATACTTCAAGCATGACCAATATTAACTTTACTTAGAGAATAACTGGAGTCAGAATAGCTAGCGGCTTCTATATATCCCAGAACTGCTTGATGACATATCAGAATCCGTACATAAAGGACATCACTTGTCTGGTAACCAAGTCAGCAAAGTAATTATGAGAGTTCACGTAGCTAGATAGATGATGGCGATGTTAGGTCCTATCAATATCCATTGATTCTTCTCTCCCACTGTAGCTCCTAAGCGTCAATGTGTCTCGTTGTCTACCACTAGCATTTCCTTAGGTGTGATACGAGCCATATTCAGCATTGTGCTCTGACCTACCTATCAGAAGTTGTGTATTTGACGAGAAACAGACATCGGTTTCTCATCTATAGAGCCAGATAGGAAGGAATCCGGAGGATGTTTATTCCCGGTAATTCTCTGTAACGATGTCGGTACCTAAAGCAAGGGTGTTGTCGGACTAATAGAGTATCTGCTGCTTATGAAGCAAGATAACAATCTCTAAATCATGCGAAGTGAGAGATCGATCAGGACATCGAGCTATCTGAGTACTAGAGTAGCAATATCTTCAAGCATGAGTTGCATGGATGATAGCCCATCCTTGCACAGGCACCAACTTCAAAGAACACCGCTTTGCATCCATCATCTGACCAAAGCATGATGATATAGCTAGTCTATGGATATACCAACAGATCCATTGTAGACTGACTTAGGTGGAGGGTTATATTCTTTTTACAGAGATAGAAGATCGCGTTAACGCGTGAACATGCGGGTATGGTAGTATTGTATTACCAATACTTTTAGGAATGCAGGAAACGCTTAACAAATGCCAAGAGCTCACTGGAACAATCTAGGGATACTCGCCAGCGATCCCCAGCCCTCGGGCAAGCCATGGCCAGTCGACGTTCCAGCTGAGCCCCACATCGTACTTGGAAGGCCTTAAATTAGGGATATCCCAGTCATATCTCTGCGCTGTGTTGGCGTTGCCCAAAGCACTGACCTTAGTATGATCTGCGCTCCTTAAAATAACCCCTAGCCAAATGGGAGTTTTTGGGCACAGCCGCATCGATAATGTTAGTCTTTATAAATAGTAGCTTAGAAAGTTTTTCCCTTCCCGTTGGATTTTTATTTTTTTTTTTTCTTTCATGTTCATAGCTGGATCTATCTTCAACGACTTTGATAATGGGGCTCTTGTCTCCAAGGCTGCGAGGCACATTGCATACACTCTGCCTCATTCTAGGGTTTGCGACAGCGACTCAAGGACACCTTGTTTTACATGATGACTCCTTTCAGCCCGACCATATCCTTCGAGTGACTGCTCAAGATTATAACCAGGCATGCATGGACCGATATTCAGTCGTGATAAATGGATCGCTTCCAGGCCCCCAGTTACATATCCAAGAAGGCAAGGTGAACTGGATTCGTGTCTATAACGACATGGAGGATTTGAATGTTACAATGGTACGGAACTGGTTCCTTTCCACTGAAAAATAAAGTTATATTCACAACGATCACAGCATTGGCATGGTCTTTCTGCATTTACGGCGCCCTTTTCCGACGGTACTCCCATGGCTAGTCAATGGCCTATTCCCCCGGGCCACTTCTTTGACTATGAAGTCCGCCCTGAGGTGGGGTATGCCGGCACGTATTTCTACCATTCGCATATTGGCTTCCAGGCCGTCACTGCCTGGGGTGCGCTTATTGTAGAATCGGCCCAGCCATCACCATACGAGTACGACGAAGAACGCGTCATTGCTCTGTCAGACTTCTTTACTAAGACGGACGAAGAAATCGAAAATGGCCTTATCTCTACCAACTTCACATGGAGTGGAGAGACTAGCGCTGTCTTGGTGAACGGTCAAGGCCGATTGGCCACTAATGCTACAGGGTCCTGCAAGCTGGCCGCTATCAGTGTCGAACCCGGGAAGACATACCGTCTGCGATTTATCGGGGCAACAGCTTTGTCGTTTGTCTCGTTGTCCATAGAGAGCCATGACGTGCTGGAGATTATCGAAGCGGATGGCCACTATACTAAGCCTTTTAATACCAGTTACTTGCAGATAGCTAGCGGCCAGCGGTATAGCGTGCTCCTGAAGACAAAAACCGAGGCCGAATTGCAACAGGCGAAGTCCCGACAATTCTATTTCCAACTCACCACCCTGGGCCGGCCAACCGTCCTGACAACCTTCGCAGTCTTGGAGTACCCATCCTCCACCACGACTGACCTCGTTACTGTCCCTGTCACGCCTCCCCTCCCCGTAGCCAATATCACTTATGGCTGGCTGGACTACGCGTTAGAGCCGTACTATCCGAATCTGGACTTCCCCACTGCCGAGGAAGTAACCCGGCGCATCATTATCAATGTTCACCAGAATATCAGTGATCGCACCATCTGGCTTCAGAGCGGGTACGACTGGGTGGAGACATTTCCCAAGTCGCCATATCTAGTCGATGTCTATCAAGGTACACTTGACCTCGACGCCTCGTATAAGCGGGCGATTGCCAGCGGCTTTGGATTTGACAATCAAACCCGTCTCTTCCCCGCCAAGTTGGGGGAAGTCCTGGAGATTGTCTGGCAAAATCAAGGTGCCGTTAATAACGGTGGTGTTGAGAACCACCCATTTCACGCACACGGTCGACATTTCTATGACATCGGTGGTGGGGATGGGTTGTACAATCTGACAGAAAATGAGATCCGTTTGAAGGATACCCATCCGGTATCTCGCGACACAACTATGTTGTATGCGTACCGGAAGAAAACGACTGCTCTCCAACCATCTGGCTGGAGAGCGTGGCGTATCCGTGTTACGGATGCTGGTGTATGGATGGTACATTGCCACGTCCTTCAACACATGTTAATGGGCATGCAGACAGTCTTTGCCTACGGCGACCAGGTGGATATTAAGGCGCAGTCTGGCGCACCTGACGAAGGCTATCTGACGTACGGTGGCTCGGTATATGGAAATACCACGCATTCCCCACCCGTACAGCATTTCTTTTGATTGGCTTGCCAGGCATGAACTAAGACTTGTGACTTGTCAAGACTTATAATTGAAGTTATGATATCTAATAGCGAGTAATGATTACAGTCAATTTCTACTTCTATCTTTGATTGGGTAGGATATTCTATACAATTAGAGTAATCTGTATACTCTGTGACTCAACTCTTTCTTTTCGAAACGGAATTTTTTAAAAAGGCTGTAATAAAAGTCCCAATTCTAGAATCTAGATCAGTTTATAGACTCTTAGCGTTATTATAAGATAGAGTGAAGCAGTAAAGTTGTTAATCTTTATCTGATATCGATTTATTCTCCGCTTAAGTAAATTTTCTGCCGGCGGTATCAGCTGGTCAAGGGAGGGATACAGTTTAGGATAGGAAGGGAATATCGGAAGTATAGTATCTATCACATTGTCAGACGAATGTGTCAAAACCAGCGACTTGTGAATCTGAATCAATCAATCAAGATTCTATTGACATGTTCGTGTCTAACTACTGAACATCTGACTGAGTCTTTACATTAAACTTCAAACCACTGCTCATGTGGGAGCTGGTTGTTCGCAATATGATTGCTTTCCGCCATATGTACTAGATATAGGAAACACTCTCTCAATGAGACGTTACCCCTGTAGTTTCCATCTTCCACCTCTTTCACTTCAGTGCCGTTCCTTATGGGTCTACTGAAAGCTATTGTCCACTCCCCGCCTATTATCTCTTGTTTAAAAAAAGTTTTTCTGTCATACGTGGACAAAAACCCATACTTCAACTTGGCCGTAACCATGTATCCAACAATTTTACCTTGTTATTTAAGTTAGTGATATCGCTATCTATATCTCAATTATGTTTGTACATACCAAAAAGTCGTCGCAGGTGACGGTGGTTTTGGTATGCGGCTGCAAGATCATGTTGATCTATCCATGGGGTTTTTAATTCCCCTACGAAATGCAGCAGACTGTTGAGATCCATAATGGCCACATCCGGTACTTTTCCTTTTATGAGCCTGTCACCAGTGGACTTGTAATCCCCGAAGCGTGTCTTTGACCCAGTCGCCGCGAGGACGGCTGTCATTGCTTGTGACAGCCTCTCAGTAAATCGAGCTTGTACACCAGTCTCGTCCCCGACAACGAATTGCTCCTTAGATAGTAATGTCGGTTGTTTGCTCGCTTTGAAGCCCAATACTGGACCCCCGTTCCCAAGGTTTAACGCTACAAGATTCTGCCTGGCCTTTTTCTCAAAGTCGCCCCAAGGGACTAATGGCCCGATGAAAGTCTCGGGATGCAAAGCATGGGATTTAGTCTTGTGTATGCCGAAATTAAGATCTGGCAAAGAGTCTCTTTAATGGCCTGCTTGGCCCTCTGGGCAATTACACTTGGCATTTTGAAGATTGGTTTTGGCTTGGGTTTCCATACTTACTTTGGTATCCTGGCTTACTGCCTACTACAGGGGAAATCAATTCACTCTCAAGACTCTGCGTCGCGCCCATAACACGCCGCGACATATACGTGCGCATGCTCTAATTTACATAATTATGTTAGAGTATTAGTCACCCACTGGAATGCATGGTAGCTTGACGTCGTGATGATAAGTTTTGGACTCCCCCGCGCTGTCTAACCCGCGTCTTTTGTTCGACACCCATGCTCCGCAGGATATCCCTCTCCGCCATACTGAACTACAAGATGGATGATAATGGAAGGGAGTTCTTTGTAGGTTGGGAGTCGAAGGCTATTGGTCTACGTGTCGACAATATTTCGAGTACGTGGGTGTTGGACGAGAAGCTGGCTGAACTGTATCATCAGCACACAGCTTATGAACATCATCTGCGTCCGAGAGTAGCGGCGGCCTACGGAACTTTCAGCTGCCATGAGTTGAACGATCCATCATGTGAAGCGATAATCAAGGTTTTCATGCAGTACGTTCTCGTTGCCCTTTCCTACATATGATAAGTCCTCATCCGCGACAAGGATCACGTACGATGGGCTGGAGTACACATCTCCAAGTGAAAGAGCCCGTCTTGCCTCTCAGAAAATACCTAACTTTGGGGAATACCAATTGGAAGCCCTCAAGGTCCTTACCGAAAATGCATGTAGCTCCGCCCCAAAGCTGCTACACGTGAAGAAAGATGAACAGGATCACACGGGCCCAGTTCCGGGCGGTTTGCTCCTTTATCTCCTGATCCAACGCCCCCCAGGAAAGTATTTGAACCAAGAGATCTTCTGGAGTATGGACAGACAGGGTAGAAACATGGTCCGTGTCGCCTTCAAGCAGGCGTGGTTGTGAGCTTTGCCCCCTTTCCCTCGACATTCAATATTTTCTAACAATATTATCCTGGACACTAGGGACTGCGTTGGCGCTGGGTTCAAGCCAGCCATGTCAGCCACCGAGAATCTCATCTGGGATGATGATAACAGCAAGATGTGAGTGCAGTGATTACAATTATATGCTAGAAATTATTTTGTTGCCCTGAACAACCAGCTAACATAAGACCTGTGTACACCTTGAGCAGTTACATCATGAACTTCGAGGACGCTGATCCCTCGGATCAGAATACTGTCTGGAGTGATACGCAGTGGATTCCCTGGGATCTAGCAAAGGTGCCACGAGAGTATGATTGGGTAATCGACGAAGCTATCCGTCCGGACATGTCACAGTGGACTCTTTGAGATAGGGCAATGAAACTGTTGGGAGTCGGCCACGAATATTCTATCTGCAGGGCGTGGAACTCGGTTCAATAAAGGATTTTTCTTCTTCTAAAACGGCTCAGATACCAACTTTAGCAAATCTAGAGTGGACTACGATATTGACGAAATGCTCGCAGACACTAGGGGGTAAATTGACTGAGTGTACATATAATAAATGAGATGAGTATACTAGATAAAAATAGCTGTCTGTAGCACCGCCTTTCTTAACGCCATTGCATATAGATGCCATTAAGAAACACTGGCATCAGCTACTAGAAGGCAAATCTAAATGGAGAATACAGACATACAATAGTACTATGGACCTTTATTTTTAAAGATAATTACACAATTCTGTCCGATTCACAAAGTATGATTGTAATTTGGCCCATCTTCTACAATAAATGTGGTAATACAGGTCACTGTAAATGTTATTTCTCACTGTTGCTGATTCTTATTAAGGATCTCAGCCCCATTATACTTTCTATTAGTGGGGACCTCTTTATATCCCCCGGACATTCGATTGGTGGCGGTAGCTGTGTTTCACAGAAAGATAGCCTGTCCTGTAATAGACGTTGTATCTAAGGTATACCTAATATATCCTATTTTCACAACTTGATCCAACCGTCCTTTGACTATTAAAGTGTAATATGTGTAGGCTCTTGTAACTACAATGTTCAAACCTACTTACATATTCTACTCTAGTTGGATTCGGGCTCGGAACCATGAAGCATAGACAGGACTGATGAGCTCGGTTAATTGTATGACCAAGTGTAAGGAGACGGGGCTCTTGGCCTTGTGAATAAGGACTCAATTATTCGTAAAACATCGCTATCCTTGATGTATAACCTTTAGTCTTCTTTTCAATGTTTTTATCCTATAGAACCATCTCACAGGTACTATTGTACCATTCATTCTTCTTCTTGGGTGACCGACAGACAAAAATATCAACTCAAAGCCGTTTCACCATGTTGTATCTTGGGATCGAGAAATGTGATACGACCAGAAGAATGACCAAGGGCGAGTGTGGAGTTATAAGGCGCACTGCTCTTCGCGCGGTGTTTTCTATCAAGATGACGCCAAGGTGTTGGAATGACAGGAAACAAGATGTGACCTGGTATGTATGGGTGAGTAATATGACGGTTCGTACGGGTCGGGCCGCCGGAATGGGCATCTGTGCGCTGTGTCAGGTCTCGTATCAAGATGAATACGGGGGAGGTATCATACTAGATGCTAAATATAGCAGTGGCTACCTAGAATGAGGCTAGGATGTTGCCCTGCTGTAGTAAGCAAAGCAAGTGGGGTAATAATGATCATAATCACAGCCTCACCTGCGTGTCACAGACACTCGATTCTGAATGATTATCAGTTGCTGAAGGGGCTCCATATGCACTGAACGACATGCCGGAGGAGTCTCCTGTCTATAAAGTGGTGGTTCTTGGCGACGGTGCCGTTGGCAAGACTGCCTTCACCCTCCAGGTATGCTCCAGCGTGGGACTCGTTGAGGCTGGTGAGTCACTAATGCTGAAGCACTTAAACCCCCCAGCTGGTCTCGCAAGCCTTCGTCGGAATATACGATCCAACCGTCGAAGACAAGTATCATAAGCAGCTCCTCGTCGATGGCCGGCGATGTGTGGTGGAAATTCTAGACACCGCCGGGCAGGAAGAATACTCGGCGTTTCGCGAAATGTGGATCCAGCAAAGCGAAGCATTTATCGTGATGTATAGCGTTACCTCGAGCATGAGTTGGGAAGGGGTGAGGAGATGGCTGCAGCAGATCCGGGCAGTTTGCGAGCAAGTTACGAAAAAGGCAGGTCTACCACCCCCAGTGTCGCTCTCAGAGGTGACGTGCATAGTCGGTAGCAAGACCGACGATGTTGGAAAGCGGACCATAAGCACGCAGGAGGGCTTTGCCCTGGCGAGGGAGCTTGGATGCCCATTCTTTGAATGTTCCAACTTTATTTACGACCAGGTCGAAGCGCCAATAGTCGAAGTAGTACGCAAACTCGAGCTACAGAGAGCCAAAATCAACAAGGTCGACGCCATCAAAGCTGAGGTTGCAAAGATGGAAGCCGCGATCAAACCGACCACCAAATCGCTCCACGAGTCGCTCGGTCGATTCCTGTTCTCTCGGTTTCGTAAGGGCGGTTCTCGAGCACTCGTATCCTAACCTCAGTCGCTCACATATAGCACCCGACTTCCACAACAGGTTCTTCTGTGTCAGATGATGATCCAGGCGGTGCGTTTGAACAAGACAGCAGAGGTAAGGCGACTACTGGCGATGGGGGCAGATCCAAATGGCATCGCAGGGGTTGAGAGCAGTCCTCTCTCGACTGCCGCGGCCTTGGGCTATAAAAAGATGGCAGCTCTACTGCTAAGCCTTGGAGCAGCCATCAATGCGCGTGATGCGCGTGGGGCCACAGCTCTTGTGCTGGCCGCCTCTGAGGGCCATTTGGCAGTCGTGAAGTTGCTAGCCGAGCAGGGTGCGCAGATCAATGCTCTAAGTAATATTCAGGGAACGCCTTTGATCGCAGCAACGTTTCGTGGTCATGTCAAAATCGTCTCGTATCTGGTTCAGCAGGGAGCAAATATCAATGCCCGAGGAAGCCAATACACGACAGCGCTTCATACTGCCGCGGTGGTAGGCAAGGAAGGCATGGTTGGGATATTTCTCGATGCAGGTGCCGATTCGACGAGCCGGGATGAAGAAAATCGCAGTGCATTGTATCTGGCAGCATCTCTAGGTCATGTTGCAGTGGTTCAGTTACTTCTGCTGCGCGGTTCCACGGCGATCATTAATGAAGTCCATTTCAAGTATGGCAGCGCCCTGGATGCAGCCTACGCCAGTTCGCACTTCGCCGTTGCCAAAGTGCTTCTACACTTTGGCGCAAAAGAGTCCCTCAATCCAGCATCTACCTTCTCGGTCGCTATTACGAGTGGTGTGGAACACGAGGATATAGGCCCGGCTAGTGATCCTTCCGGAATAGTAACGACTTTGCTGCCTTCTTCAACTGGTAGTGTGTCGGCTCGGTCTTCCAAACCAACATCAAGCGACTTCGCTCGTCCCAGCCACCGTGATGGCTTTAAGATTGCCATCATATGCGCCTTGCCCCACGAAGCCGATGCTGTCGAAGCCGTATTCGATTGCTGCTGGGATGGTGACGGCGAGCAGTACGGCAAGGCCGAGGGAGATACAAACACGTACACTATGGGGAAGATCGGGCGTCACCCCGTGGTTCTTGTACACATGCCCAGCATCGGGAAAGGCGCGGCCTCCAGTGTGGCGTCGAATGTGCGGAATAGCTTTAAGAAGATCGAATTAGCGTTGGTTGTGGGAATATGCGGCGCAGCTCCTCAGACTCCCAGCCACGAGGAGATCCTCCTGGGCGATGTCGTGATCAGCGATGGAATCATTCAATATGATCTGGGCCGGCGTCTCCCTCATAGCTTCATCCGGAAGGATACTCTGCTAGACAATTTAGGTCGACCCAGTCCACGCATCCGCGGTCACCTAGCCAAGCTTCGCGGTCGACGGAGCCAAGTGCAACTGCAAGAGGAACTTATTCTTCATCTCACCGAATTGCAAGAAAGGTGGCCAGACCAAAGTCTAGAATCTCCGGGGATTGAACAAGACCAGCTATTCCAATCGACATATCATCACCAGCATCACCGGACACCGTGTTCTGTCTGTTCCGTTAACGTGATAGAGGATTACAAAGATCACTTAATATGTCAGGAAGCCCTGCACATGACCTGCGACGAGCTCGTTTGTGATCCGAAGATGACCATCTCTCGCATTAGACACCAAGTCGCCCTTGATGGGAATGGAACCATCACGCCCCGCGTCCACTACGGACTGATTGCTTCCGGGGATAGTGTGATTCGCTCCGGCGTAGATCGAGATATCCTCGTCAAACGAGATGGGGTCATTGCCTTTGAAATGGAAGGGGCAGGGGTCTGGGATAATCTACCGTGCATTGTTATTAAGGCCGTTTGCGATTATGCCGACAGCCACAAGAATAAACACTGGCAGAATTATGCAGCTGTGACGGCGGCAGCTTGTACAAAAGCATTTCTCAGGACGTGGGTAACGAATAATAGTAGTACGACCCTAGAATGAGTATTCCGTAGGAAAGCAACCTTATACCATAACATAGAAATACTCTACATAATATATTGATTTATAAGGCTAAAGCTCAAATTTATCGACTCTTAATTTAGTAGCATGGAAGGGCAAGGACACACAGTTGGATGCCGCCGAGATATTGATCGAAGCAGTTTACATCGCCATTGCTTTGATATTGAGAGAGCCTAGGACAGGTCTACCTGGCCACCTACATAAGACACGGGGGTCCCAATAGCACAATTGGTACCAAGCAACAATGAGGCTATTCAAAAGAGAGGTAGTAATAGTGATCCTGTCATAAATAGGCAGTTGTGATCGTAACTTTTCGGGAAATGCCAAACCCTCACCATCGAGGCAACGCTGATCCAATTAGCACTCCACTTAACAAGAGAGCCCGGTATAGCCCATGGCTAGCATGAATCAGTATGAAGTCGGACCGGGCGTCTAGTACTACTTTTATATGCTTCTCTTTGTAGCGCTGTGTATAAGGTTTCACTCTCATCTTCGTCCCGTTTGCCCTGTCCATTACTTTTGCTCACGGCCAATTTTTCTTTGTCCCCCTTTTCTGGGGCTTAGACCCTGATGTTACAGATCCTGATGCTAAGGCCCAATGCCATAGCCGACGAAGAAAAGACGTTGGACCTTCTTTACCAGTAAATCGAGGTCTTGCAACAGCAACTAACGACACATAAACATATCAAACCATCGTACCGCCGGCTTTCCCACCACTCATCGCCTCTGACATGATCAAACATGTTTAATACCCTAATTACAGTGATCGTGGCTCTATGCCTATCTGTGTCGTTTACAGGAGTATTCGCTACGCAACCGGGGGTTGGCGCTCAAGATGCCCCAAACGGAGGTGGGCAAAAGAAACCGCTGAGCCAGTATACACGAGACATACACGACCAGTGTCAAAATATTCAGATACTCCCGTTGAGAAACATACAGAATATTCCACCAGCACCAGGCAGGCCTGAGGATAGATTTGCACTAGAACATAGTGAAATCAATGTGACAGACGTCCAACCACAGCCACCCCCTCCAGCAAGGCTAGTGGCAAGCTGTGGATCCCCCAGTCGACGACGCAGGACGGAGCTACGCTTAGATAACTGTCTGGGTTGGGATGCAGCGGGTGAAAGACTTATCGCACAACCGAAGTATAACCATTCCCGTCCATTCGCGGTGCACAGCGGATATTGACAACTGTAGTGGGTACGGACTGCAAAGAGGTGGCTGCTGGGGTTGTAAATATTTCCCAATCTCCAGGGCGAAATTCCGCGTCGTATGTTTTTGTGACAATGTGACCCAAGGTCTCATGACGGTTATCCCCGGGATTGATAGGATGGCGGCTGGGAAGACCTTCGCTCAAGGTAAGGATTCATTGGAATGTCCAATATGTTCGACCTCACTAACCCTTTCTACGCAGATGGCGTGTGGAGATTGATCAATGGTCAGCTTCAGTGCCAGAATTGGGGATCTTGAAGAGACCCTTGTGTTGTACGGTTCTTAGGTGTCTATGGAAACGAGATTGCCATTGCTATCTCATAAGTAGAATGCTTTACGATTCTAAGGCACTTATAACGAATGCGAAACAGTGGTATCACCGTATAGATAGTAGGATTTCGTCCCAGTTTCCTGGCTCAGCCTGATCAACGTGTACACCAACCTATGCTTCCGTGAAGTCCTTGATAGCCCCGACGATCTTGGCAAACGGAGACCCGAACAATCGCCAAATTTTGCCCGGAATAATACGCAACAAATTCCACGATGGTTCTTCTAGTCCCAATCAATGGTAGCTCCCTTAATTCTAAAATCCTTCCAGTTAAACACCATCCGGGATCTTGTTGTCAATGGTGGGTGCGCGTGTTTTACCCAAGGGAGGAGGGTAATATGTCTATGAGTAAGGCGGGAATATATATATCTCTTACCGAGATGAAGAAATTCCAGGAAAGGTGTAATAATCTTGGATTAGGAGACCGGAAATGACCATACCACGAATCTTAGCAGTGCCACAAATCTAAAAGTCTCCTTGAACCTTTATTTTACAATTTTCTTGAATTTTTCTGATGCCGGTTCGCCGTCATTTCTTCGTCCGAATAGTCTCGGGGACAAGAACATCACGTGGCCCGGAGGTTCAACCCAAACAACCAAGGAATGTGGCTAGAATATCGTCGATTTCAAACGCGCTAGGCCGAACGTCGACTAGGCCAGATACGTAGCTCTCGATCCAAGGACACTAGCTAAAATAACGTACGGCGCTCTCTTGTTTCCTCCCTCTCTTTCTCTCTATACCTCTGTTTCTCTCTTTCTCTCCCCTTCCCACCCTCATTCTCGCTCCATCCTTGGCATCATCGACCCGGAAAGCCGAATTATGGGTCTGCACAAACCCAATCATCATGCGAATCTTCTCCAATATGTCGCGCGAAGCACGCGTCCGTGCTCCCATGATGGGCCCCAACAGGTCGGCAACTGGATTGAATGTGCACACGAACTCGACAAAGTCAGTGCGTCGACCCCTGGCCTGGCACCATCAATAACTACGACATGAGCTTGGATTGCTCAAGTCGAATGGCTGCAACCGAGGGGAGCAGGGAACATAATGCAAAACAAGACACGGAATTCTTCCTGCGACGGGGACAGGCGATGTTCAAAAGGCTTCAATTAGGATTAGGATCAAGAATGCATATTGTGAATGGACATCGAGGCACCAGGCCGGTAACCCATCAACATTCGAAACAGAGATCAGCAGAGGCATCCATCATTTGAGGAACTCCCTTGCGATTCAATCTGCGACATCGGCATACGGGCCCTCATCCAGCTGAAAGCCATGGACCTCCTGTCCGCCAATCCTTTCAGCCATACGGAAATCCTGTACGACCATCACTTGGGCTATATTGGTAGACTGCTCCACAGCAATGACCTGGAGGCGGAATGGCTGGCGACTCCGGCACAATACTAAATCCTGAAGTCGGACGAAATGCCCTGATGCAAGATCCGTCGGATCTCGCCTCGACAGTCCGCGCCCAATGTGAATGGAATTCGGTCGAGCTGGACGCAGATCAGCTCCCACTATGAGTTTTCAGCTTTCTTGACTCGAGGGTGAATCCGCAGATTGTTCTAAACCAGTAAAACACAATGTGGCCTTCGTACGGTCTTTTGTTCGGATCCCCGATCAGGCCAGTCATGTCAGCGGGTGATGCATCAGACACGGGAAATTCATTGGGGTATCAAGTCGATTGGAAGCGATTTTTCTTTCCCCCTCAATTCATTGCTGACGGATGTTTCAGCGGAGGATGATCTGGCCCAATTGATTGTCTATCGCGACCCCAGCACCGCCAGCTATCGCTTGACACTACATGAACGGCGGGGAGCCGTCGACGGGATCTTCCTCAAGATTATGAAGCGCAACTTGGTCCTGCTAATTGCCGTTTACCCTTACCAGATCACACTCCACTGGCGGCGTATCCACGTTTCCCCAACGATGCAAACGGCATGCCCAGCAGCGTTGCACTGTTATTCCGGTGCCAGCGATGTTCTCTTCGCGGCCGTAGAGTGCGACGCAGGCTTCCCAGATGTCACCTCGTGCGTGGGATACCTAGACCACCCCTATCCGCCCAACCGCCTCACCACCTTCCATTAGTCGACATCCTCGCATGACCACCTGGGATATAACACTTCATCCCAGGGATTTGCAACGCCCCCTGTGTCGGATTCAGGATACTCTCTGGATTCTAATGGAATAGCCCTTTCGGTTTGTTTCTTTTCTTTGGATGCCCAGCAGATATGTCTGATATTGATTTGGAGGTCTTGTTACATATATCAATATGCTGGTGCTTCCCTACTTGTATACTTGTAATGAAACAATGTCATTACTGACCTCCCCGTGCGGACCTTACCAAGACAGCGTATACTTAGTGCAACTGTGCACTTAAGATAAATGGCTCGGAAGAACGTTTAAGAGTCCGTAGCGCCGCCATGCGGGGTAAAGCACCCTGAGTCTGCAATCACTACGCATAGAGTGGGTTTCTCCAATGCCCTCACAAGCTAAATGAACGATTCAGAAGTATGGCTCTGCATGATGCGTCCACGACTAGCGACCGACAGGAACAGTACCACTTGGTTCGGAAATACGGGATATGCCTGGAAGGGCCAACCCTACCGGAGACGTGGCCTGCGAAGTACCAGTCGCTCTTTCAGCTGGTTCGCGAAGCGGACAAAATCCGATATGATAATTACAAGCACGCTGGACTGGAAAATCCAGCTCGATCGCCGGTACCTGTTGACGAAATATGCGCTACAGTCAGGGGACTTGTTCAGACAGCATATGGCTTGCGTCGATCCTGGGCTAGTGATGACATGTGGAGAGGAACGATACAGAGACTAGTTGTCGAACGTTTTAATAGAAAACGAGAATGGTAAGAGACCTTTCATGCATAGTCTCACTGCTCACAATTCTATAATGCTGACTGAGATTGCCAGTTGTCTCTGCGGCAAAGATTACTGGATGTCAGACTTACTCGCTCCGCTTCACAATTCCCTCGCCTCAGACAGTGTTTGCAATTGTGCGGAATCAGAGGCAATGGGATTTTATGTATGAATTGAGGTTCTTCCATAAGTATATCCTTTTTCTTATAGTTGCTAACCGAGGTTATAGCCCGCTCTGCTTCTTCAATTTGCAAGCCAGCAAAACTGTCGCGTTGTGAACGAGTTTAGCCCGGATAGCGACAGAAGGATCCTCTCTAACCAACCGACTCCTCTTGTTCTTGGGCTGCGGAAAAGCTCCCAATTTGAGTTGCTATTATCTCGTTTCCCGGATATTCAAGCTACCGCGATTGAAGATAACGAGAGGGTAATATTCCCCTTTCTGCTTTTGGGGTCCCAGGCAGAGAAGCATAGCGTAGGATTCGAGTCAATCGAGAGACAATCAGCATTCGCAACCATTTCTCTGCTGGCTATACAAAGGGACCTGTCATTGAAGCGTCGTTTTAGGACATGTCCTATAGTGTGGTTGCTGGCAAACCAAGGAGATGAATGCAAAGTTTATGCCGCTGTTCCTGATGGATTGCGCTCAGTAAGTCCATACAACCATGATATATATGTGTGTGCAACATGAACGAAACTACGACTGATGACTGGGATATTTGCAGCGAATCATCGAGCTATGGGGAGGATCAATCCTGAGACATGACTACGCTCTGCAGCTCCTTCTTATAGTCGATATGATATGCGATTGGGCTAAGAATATCTTCAAAAAAACTATCATGGAGAAATTAGGAGCACCAGTACTTGATCGCCCTGAAAAGTCACATGGTGCGACTCGTACGGGGCAACCTAACAATGAGCTGGATGAAATTGGAGAGTCTCTTAGTGGGACAAAGCTCAGCGAAACCACACGAGCTAGCAGTGACCAATTGAAATGGTCTAAAATTGCTCATATACGATCGGAAACGGATGTACGATATCAGTTTCGGTCGATATCACTGCCAGAGTCGAAAAAGGGCCTTACTCGAATATTGTTGGCTATCGGAGGAACGCGTCACTTTTATCAGGCAGCTCAGCAGCTTTTATCTCTTTTCAATCTAGATGGTCCACTCATTATAAGAGCAGAACAAATCTACCATTTACACAGCACGTGGACCAACACGCCGTATGATAGCCTATCCAGTGATCCTGAGATACATTTCGCTAGTCTTTCTTTCCGTCCTTTCTTTGACGTCATGACCGGCCAAATGACTCAGGAGCTATCATGTATTACCGCATCAATTCTCTCGATGGAGCTTCTAGTCGGTATTCTAACCGAAACGGAGAAGAAGCAATTCTGCGAGGATGGTATAACGCCGACCCTACTCCTTCCTCAAACAATTGCATTACTTCGGGATATCTCTGCCCTTGAGTTGACACAGGCTGCGTTTCAGGACTTGCATCTGCATTTACATGCCTTCAAACAGATAGCGGGTGTCAACAACTGGGTGGAGGATCGAACCAAGTCCCGAATTCTCGAGACATTCTGGGCTGTAGCAGATGGTCAGGAACTTTCCTTCTGGAGGTGTCCTCACCAACTATGCTCTAGTGTGGAAAGAACGGCATTCCCCAACTCGACAGAAGAGGGACACATTCTACGCAGGCTAGTACAAGGTCCTTGGCAGGAACAGCCATGTATTGTCGCCAAACTAAGGGATGGCGGGGCGGCGGTGCTTTACTGCTGTGTTATAAGGAAGGATGAGAATCCCGAAGACCTCCCAGCAATCGGAAGGAAGATCCATAGATTTCTCTACCGTCTGCCTGGCTCAATAAATGGGGTCCAATACACTTCAGGTGATAAAAGTGTTTTGACAGATTGGGCTAATTTCCTGGTCCAGCATCAGTCATGTTGATATACTATGATTCTAGAAAATGTCCACAGGTCGAACCGTACACGCTGAATAATTCAAATTCTCTTTTTTCTCGTGAAACAATGGTCTAATTATCATTTTTATGTCTATGTTTGTGTATCCCAGCTTGTCTAATTAACTACCTATATACGCAAAGCCAAGCCTCCACTATTCACGTCACTAGCAGGCATTCTCCACTAAAGGAGAATATATCAAGGACAAGGGTGATCTTGTGTGTAGTAAATATACATGGTTTACATAGTCCTTGACTGACGGATGTCGGATCTAGGATACCGGATGCTGGATGCCGGAGCTCGGCTAAAATGTCATACTATTATATCTTCTACTTGGCGGAAGGGGCTTGAGCACTGCCGATCCACCGATGTGAAAAACCACGAGGAGGTACAAGTTATGATTTTTCAAATAAAAATGCAAAATAGCTAATGCTAGATTACCCCCTCGTTGTGATTCCACTATGGCACTGAACAAAAAGAAGCTCACTGATATCCAGCAAGTCTGCGATGAACAAATTGAGGATATTTCATTTGACCCGGTATCTCAAAAACAACAACAAGGCTATCACGCATCGACACCTCAAGATATCAAATTGGATCGCCGGCTTAACCTCAAGCTTGACTGCTTTATTATCTCTGTCTTAACAGCTGGCTTTCTGGTATGGTCTCCCGGGCACGCCGCCTCTGCACTTCGATACCACATAAGATCACTGCTGAATATGGTTAGCTGCAAGCAGTAGACAAATCGAACATAAGCAACGCTGCTACCACGAATAGTACGTGAAAGCCGAACATTGCAGCCCTCAAACCCCCCGGTGACCCCAGAGAAAAATGCATCCTAACAGGCCAAGCGCAGCTTTCAGCCAGGACTTACATCTGAAGCACAATGACGTGCCCAACGCTGTATCTCTCTATGCCGCTACTTTCATTCCATGCATGCCCATTTCGGTCATGCTCGGGAGGATTGTCGGGCCTCGTTGGTGGCTGCCGTTTATAATGGCAGCTTGGGGGGTGGTGACGATCACTCAGGCGGTGATGAAAAACCGTGCACAGATGATGGCCCTCCGCTTGCTTCTCGGCGTTTTTGAAGCTGGATATGTTCCGACCGCATACTACTATATCGGCACGTTATATCCTGCATACCAAGCTGGATTCCGGATGGGCATGATGGCGCTTAGCTTTGCGTTCTCTGGGGCATTTGCTGGTCTGATAGCTTATGGATGCTTCCAAATCCGGTCATCGGTGTGGAAGGACTGGCAACTTCTTTTCCTCGTTGAAGGAAGCGTCACTATATTTATCGCCGTCCTGGCGCTGGCAATATTGCCGCACAAACTGAGAAAAGCGTGGTTTTTGAATGAAGAGGAGCGCGCACATGCGGTCCGGCGCATGGCTACTGATGCAGGGCTGGATGAAGATATGACGGGGGCTAATGCTGAGGAACAGGCCCATCACATCACCACGAAGGATATCATCAGGGCTTTGAAGGACTGGAAGAAAATCCTTATCATTGTGTGCAATTTGTGTGCCACTACGCCTGCATATGGCTTCGCCATCTTCCTACCACTTATGGTCAAGGGTATGGGCTATGAATCAATTAAAGCGAATTTGATGACTGTCCCCCCATTCATGGTGTACGTGACCCTCTGGGAAATAACGCTGGTCGCCTAGCTAATTAGTCTTAGGGGTGGTGTCGGCCTCCTGACTATTGTCTGGCTCTCGGACCGCCTGCACGAGCGCTCCGGCTTTGCCATTTTATCGATGTTGATCTCGATCGTTGGGTATATCGTTCTCATCGCCAGCAAAAGTAACAAGGTTCGCTACGGATTCCTACACGTTGCCCTTATCGGCTCAGGTACGGCAAACCCGCTCATTGCTGCATGGCTGACGGACAACACACCCGATCATGCAACGCGTGCGGTCACGATGGGTCTATTCGGGCTGACCAATCTATCTGCAGTCATTGCGGGGCAGATATTTAGAGAGAGCTATGCCCCATCGTATCGTATCTCCGTGATCGCTGTTTTGATCATCGTGTCATTCGGATTGCTTGGGTTTGCGGCGATTCGCTGGTTGTATATGCTAGAGAACCGCAGGCGAAAGAAGGAGACAGAAAACTGGACTGCAGAGCAATATGAGGCAGAGAGATATAGCTCAGACCGGATCGGCCATGAAAAGAAATATTTTGTGCTTAGATACTAGTGCAAGAAGCGGACTAGCATCCTATACATTCCAGTTTACCAACTATAGTAGGACCCTGAGGTTCACTGACCGCAGTAGAAGCTTGCCAATAAGCATGTAGTTCCATCCATGCGGCGTCTAAGGATAATCTAAAACGCCTTTCTGGAATGAAGGAACCCGCCACTCAGTTCTAGGACGTGGACGATATATCGGCAAGCTAATGACAATGAATTGTCGAGATTGTTAGCTAGATACTTGGGAGGGAGGAATAATCTTACCGAAACGGTTCCATGATGAAAGGTGACCTATTTTCTCAATGTAATACACCACCCAGAAAGCTCGGCTACGAACGGCATAGTATTATTACTATAACGGCAATTCGCGACTAATACTCTCTATTCGGAATATGTAAACATGGCCATACCTGATTGTTATGGTGTGCTTCACTTTAATCTTGGAACATACAACGTGGCTGATGGTGCCTCCTATCCTGTGAAACATGTTGAGATCCACTGGGTATGCTTCATGGCATGAATTCATATGTACATATTCAAATTGCAAAATGTATACTTTCTAACGAATAGCATTCCGAGGAGCTATAAGGTCGTGTGTTACGGCCGAGGGTAAAATTTCATAGGGCAAGTAGTCAGGCCGATCTCTGGTAGCCGGGCATAATGAATCTCCCCATCGACCTCAAAGTCGACGGTATTATCCAACAATGTCTCGAGGTAGATTCGCAGCATCATACGTGCTAGGACCATGCCAGCACAGCGGTGCCTACCGTGGCCGAATCCAAGATGTGTCGAGATATTCTCCCTGTGCATAATGAACTCATCAGGGTGTGGAAACTGATCCGGGTCGCGGTTCGCGGCCGCATAAACGACAGTGATCGGCTGGTTCGTTAGGTCAGTTTTGATTCTGTCAATGATATTGCAGAGCCTGGAGACATACTTCATCGGGCGGAACCTTGGTACCTGAAATTTCGACTTCATGCAGCGCTGTTCGAGAGAAGCCACGGTAGGGGACATATAATCGAATGAACTCCTCAATGGCCGCTGGTAGAAGCTTTTTGTCGTTGCGTAGCCTATTTTGCAGCTCCTTGTCCTTGCTCAAATGGTTCGTCATTGACGAGATGATGATGCTAGGTGCAACCATCGCAACGATCAATATCTGGCGAATGCAGCCACTGGAGTTTGTCAGCACAAACGGAACCAAAAATGAACTGCCTCAATAGACCTACACTAAATTGTGATCATCCAAAGGATTGCCATCATGATCTCTCTCAATTAGCAAGCTCGACGCTGGATCCTCTTCCGGATTAAGAAGGTTATCTTTCCGCGATGCAATCACGCGCCTGGCAATCTCGTAGAACATATCACTGGACGATTTCACCAGTGCCCAGTTCTGTGTCCGCCACGCCGTTACAAATGGAGTGATTGCGCTGGTGAGGAGCTTTGAATCTTGCTCGTCCAGATTCAGCCACTCCTTTTCAACCCAGCCGGAAAACTGTGCACCAAATTCCTCATATATGTCACCATGGCCTTGTTGGATCAAGCGGCCAAGCTCACGCTCAGCATGGCTTCGCAGGATCGGTTCCAACCGTCTCAAACGAGCAGGCTTGAGGGTTCGATCTACAGCAGTGCGATAGGGGGCGTGCTGCTCGCCATCAAATTTGAGCGGGGGTCGTCGGATTCCACGAGGATCTGCGGGCACCACCGCACACCTGGCCGAGATGAACTTTGAATTGTCGGAGGCTGTGGCCTTGACATCGGCATATCTGTCCAGCTGGTTAGTTTTCATTCTTCTAGTCTACTCGAACGAGGCTTGGCATGGGGTCACAGTCATACTTCGTCAGGATCCAATACCCACTGTGTGCATCCACATGAGCCACAGGGCAGGTTGAGCGCAAATGAGCATACTCTCTGTAGATTTTCTCTGGATCATCACTATGAACCAGGTGGCCTTGATTTACGTCCCAGTTCGCTGGGAATTCGGTATTGACTGCAGCCATCTTGTTGTCTCAGCTTGTCGCCAGATGTATTGATTGTCTTGTCTTGGCTATTTGTTTGAGCTGATCACCTAGTTCAATCCAGATTCACGAAAGTTATATAATTATGATCAGTGGTCATGAGAGCCATGGTCTACTCACACTCTGGCCGGATATCGGATGTCGGATACCGGAACAAGGGCAAGGTCGAGGTGTGTCTCTCAACCTACCAGATAAAATGGAAGCTAAGCTAGTCATGCAAGCGGGCAATGTGCGGGGAAGAAGGGCTTCCCCACATCTTTGCCCCAGGTTTCTTCTGCAGCGCCTGCTCGGGATCACACCGTTGTTGACCTTATCCAAATGCCGAAAGACACGTACGGCGAAAGAATACACCTAATGGGAAAAAGGATTACATGCCCTAAGCCATGTCGTCCATGAAAAGAAAGTTCTACGAGAGGGTATCGCAGGCCTGCGATATGTGTCGCAGGAAGAAGATGAAGTGCAATCAAAAACTTCCATGCCAAACTTGTAAAGGTATGATCCGTATCATCGCCGTATTGGGCCGGATGTTGTGATCTGACGCCCTTAGATCGTGATTTCCACTGTGTATATTCAGAGAGGAAACCCCGACGTACCAATTCATCTCGACCGCTTGATGATACCTCTCGGGTGAACGAGCCGCCCCGGTCCGACATCCGCTCCCATGATGGGTCCGAAGGAGCGAGAGCAAGTGAAACTGACCATGGAGCAGCACAAACAAGCACGATAATACCATCTAGTGACCTGCGGGAGGTTCACCAAGAAGTGGTGGAAGGGAAGAATGC